CCCCCCCCCCCCCAGGACCCCCCTGGCTACGTCCATGTGTAACACTGACACTAGGCACGCACCGCCACAAAAAATAAACAACATTGAATTCGTTGATTCTGCCACATTTTAAAAAGGTCAAGAAGCGTAGCCTCCTAGTGTAAAATTTAAGCCTCTAAGCTTCGGTGCAGGATCCCTCCTTTTACCCGACCCGATTACAAAATATAACTTCACCTTCATAGTCGTATAGCCTGAAGGCTTCTCTTAAGTCTTCCTGCATTGCACCGGCGTCCTCCGCCTCTTCCTCGTCTCCGATGAATCTGGCCGCCAAATCACAGAACTCATCGAATTCAAGCTCTCCGGATCCTAGCGAACCCATAAACAATTGATAAAAAATTAAAACTGAGCTTAGACATTAAAATAATTTTAGAAACATGGGCTCTGGTTTTGGGGTGATGCTCGCTTGGGGGAGGCGGGGGGCCCGGGAGGCCCGAGCGGGCTTGGACGTAAGACTTGGGCACCTAGTTCCGTAAAGGCTCCTTTCCCCTCCTGGGGGGCGCATTCCCAAACCATCTCTCTCTCTTATTATTTTTATAACTTTGTGTTTTTAACAATATTTTAGAAACCAACTAGATTACTCGGTTGTCTGGTTTTCCGTTTATATAATTTAGAACCAAAGTGTATATTTCTGTAAAGAAGCTCACTTATCACTAATAAAAAAAAAAGACATTAAAACAACACAAGACTCTTTGTCTAAGGTTTTTAAAAACCAAGCAATTCTTCTGTTGTTGGTACTGGCCAAATTTCTTTTTTTTTTTAGTTATCTATTCTTATATCATTTCGTGAATTCGAAGAGAGTTCGGTTTTTGGCAAATGTTTTACACTACTCTGCCGTGCTAGGGAAGAAAGCCGTAAGAGCATTCGAGAGTTGCTAAATTTCCTTCGATACAATTTTCATTTTTGAGGAAAATTATGAATATTTTTCCTTGAAATCTTCAGAAGTTCTAGATCAAATTATAGACAAAATCATGTGAGAAATTGGTAAACAAATATTTAAAAATCTTCCTAAAAATTAGTGATTTTCCGGGAGAAATTTGGCAACACCTGAAGGCTCATACGGCGTTTTTCCTTAGCACGGCAGTATTCTCCGTGGCACCGATGAAATTCCCAAACCACTTGTCTCGTTTGCGAATCCCGTTTTATTATTTTTAAGGAAAACAAATCAACGTCTTTCCTTGAAGTTTTCACAGAATTTGCTTCGCACAGAGAGAAAAATCGTAGACGTTCTGAAGAATTGACCTTGATTAGTTTTCTTTTTAAAAGATAAAAATATGGCAGGGGATCTGCAACGTCGCAATCCGAGGTTACGTGGTTTAGGAGTTTCAAAATCATTTTAATTTTAAGTATTTGCATAGACAATCTAGACGTTTTGTACCCTATGGGTGCCAAATGCAAGTGGAGGAGAAGATGGGGAGTTAGGGAAACAGCCCCCAACAATCACACAAGAAAAGCGTCCCTAGCCGGAGCACCTCTCCCGAAAAATTTCATAAAAATCGAACCCTAGTAATAGCAGAAGTAATTTAATTTGTATCAATATACAATATGAAAAAAAACACTAAGAAGTGCCCCGAACTGTATGTAACAAGGTGGAGAAATGGTACTGGGTCCATACCATTTCGTGGGGAAAACAAAGCCAAAAAGTTCCAAAAATTATAATTAGAGTCAAATTTAAATTTTTTGAACTCTAATACGTACCAGTACGAAACTGGGGGGGGGAGTGTTCAGCTCAGGCAGTTTGCATTGGAATATTAAGTTGGAGTTACGTCGAGAGATCTATACCGGTTTGGGCTTTTTAGGCCTCATACCAGCAGATCACACTCGGCAGTGAACCCAACTTAACATGCCGCAAAATCCAATCGCAGTTTCGTACTGCTACGCATTAGAATTTAAAAACTTTAATTTTGACTCTAATTTTAATTTTTGGAACTTCTTGGCTTTGTTTTCCCCGCGAGATGGTGTGGACACAGCACCATTTCCTCACCTTGTAATATACAATATGTTTATATTGTATCAGGCACCATTGAAACTGCAGAAATCATCGGTTTTGAACCAAAGCTCTTCCCTGTCTCTAGCAGTGCAAGGCAAATTTTACATGGGTTTCGTTGTCGCAATTTTAATTTTTTGTGCTTTTCGAAATAATTTAGTAATAATTGCCTTTTTTAAGCTTTTAATTTCTGGTTGTTGCTGCCATAACGCGCATCAACACTCTTGCAAGATAAGGAAATTGATGTCGTCAACTTACCGTCGGCATCAACTTCTTCAATGATTTCCTTCAACGCAGCGTCATCCTGTGGATGGCCCATCATGTCCAGGATTGTTCCAACTGTTTCGCAAGGAATGCATCCTCTCTGCTGTTGATCGAACGCTTGAAAGGCTTGTTTCAGCACTGCAATTTTAAAGTGCAGGTGATCGTGTCAGATTAATTTGTTTTTAATTAAAATTTAAAAAAAAAACAACTAAATTGATCTTTCAATAGGCGGTAAGCACTGGGCGAAAACATGGAAATCTTTCTCTTTAAAGTTTGCTGAAAATTTCCTCATTAACGGGGAGTTATCAAAACCAAATACAATAATTGCATTTTTATAAGATTTTAATGGGGGATTTTACTTAAAATCAATTTTGACCACATTTAAACTTCAGTAAATCCACTTCTTTAAGATATAAAATACTTCTATCATATCCACTATCTATCCACATCATAGAGTACTTACATATACGAGTAGTTGTAATGTAAATGGGAGAGCTGGCGCCATGTTCTGGTCGACGATTTCCGAGCCCGGTGTGCGCCGAGCTCGGGTCACTTTTTCGATACATGTTCGATCCAAAATGGCGGTGTTGAATACGTAGTAATTCCTATCTTCTTTGTTTACATCGGATGGCCGAGTCCCCGTGTATCGGAGGCAATCGATTATGTATCGAAAAAGTGACCCGGCGTCACACAGGAGCCTCGGAATTCGGGACCTGGAAAATGCTTAAAAGTGGCGCCAGCTTTCCCACTTACATTACGACTCTACGTACTGTATGATCCACATGCCTAAAAGCAGGGATAAGAAATTAAAGCTGAATATTCGAACACAGTCGTGAAAACGTGATTAAAGTAGTACTAGAGGCCTGAGGCCGCTTCGCGGCCGCCAACCACTGAGAAAAGCTATACATGTAAAAAATAATGGAAAAGCCACGTTCAAGTTATTTAAGAGATGAATGGATTCAAGAGCTTACGGGTGCATGCGAAAGAAAGCATATTCGTCTCTGATTGCACCGTTGTGTACAAATTTTTATGTTTTATTTTTGTACACCGTTTTTAAAAGCTACGCACAGTTTTTCCACGAATTTTCCTAAATGATCTCAAATGTAAGCATGGAAAATTTCGACGCGATAGTTTCGTTCATTCTATTTTCTTTTTATGTAACAAAACAAAAAAATTAAACATCCGCCGAGTTTTTTAATTTTTACAACGAGGACACATAATTTCCCTTTACTTATGGTAAAAACCGTGGCAGAGAGGCAAGGGGATGGCACGAAATCCTAGTTTAACGGTGGTTTTAGCGTCGCGCGAGCCAGGGAAGGGAACGCGGTGGAGTCATGTTTGCAGTGTGACACGCCTTCCATTCAGCTAGCGGCAATATGCCTACACCCATGGTCGAATAGTTATCTTGATACGCTTGCCGAAAATGAAATCAAAAATCGACACCAGCACGCGGAAAAGTGGGATCTTATCTTCGATTGTAACGTTGCAAATCTCTACTCATAATTTATATTTAATTAATTTTATTTTAAAAAAGCGCAGTTTTTTTTAGAAGTTTCCGAGAAATTTCTGGAATGATTTGAAATAAAATCACAAAATATTTCGACGCGATTTTTTCGTTCGTTCTGTTTTCTTTTATCAAACCAAAATTAATTTTACGCGAATCAACTTTCAGAATTGCTGTATCGTTTGAACATCGTCCGAATTACCGAAGCGTTGCAATTATGATACTTATTTACACTTTTATTGTGGTAAAAACCGGGCAGGGACCGTCAAAAGAAATTACGCGTGGTCCTAGTTTTGCGGTGATTTTAGCGTCGCGCAAGCCAGGGAAGGGAGCGCGGTCGAGTGTCGAGTCATCTTCACACTGCATTTGGTGCAATGCGATAAGTATTCATGCAGTCTTGTAGGCGCTAATATGCGTCTGACGCCGACCGCACCATGTTCGGCGCGATTATTCGAACTCGCGTTAGACTAATCGCGGCATCGAGAAATGGGGCTTTAAAGGCCCATGTTATGTTTCGATGCCGTATGAGCAGTCCAACGTTGCCTCGTTTCTTTCGATAAAATATTTTTCCTGAGAAGTGTTAGAAGAGTTCTCTATGTTCGCTTTTTTAGATTGAATGGACCATTAAACAGGTTAAGAATTTAAGCACTTAGATACATGATTCTTCAACAGAATTTCATGCAGAATACGATTTGCGCAAGGAAAACTACTGAAGTCAAATTCTAGCTAAGTTATTGACGTTTTAATTGTCCACTGGTTACGAGAACTGAATTCACAGTGCGTACAGCTTGAACTTAGCGTCAAGATTGATGTTGCCATATTTTCATATTACTGAGACTGTCATAGTGACGTTTGGAAATTTTAACTCTGGTAAATTATTCTTTCTTCCTTGAGCGGAAAGGTTGAATTTATCCATGAAAAACGTTATTACCACGGTTAAGAGTTAATTTAGGGTTAGGATATCCTCGTTGTCCATTGGTTGCCTCGGGTGCCACCACCCGCGCCCGGATCGGCCCGCCGGTTCGCGCTGAATTTTGACGCAAAGGATAGGGCTTACGGAATTATATATTGAGATAGTAAAATACTTACGTGCTAACTGGTCCTTGCTCAAATCCTGGAAAATGAAAAGCAAATATTTTACTTTTTGATGAAAATAAAAAAAAAAAACAAAGAAAAAACAAACAACCAAGGAAGTAAGTGCCAGAAGGACTTAAATGCATTACAACGAAGCAACATTTTATTTGAAAATGTATTCATTACCCAAGAAAAGTTGCATATTTTCCTTTCAAATTTGTTTTAACTTTCATTGGGATTCTATGAGAATTTCCGATTTTTTTATAATATAAGACACTATATCGACCATAATAACAACAACGATAAGTTGTCGGGTGAAAGCCCTCATAAGAAAAGTCCCTGCAAAGTAACAGGTAGAAATCAAAGCCTTTCTAAAATCAAAACTTAAAATTTCCAACGCACTGAAATCTATTCCATGTGTGCGTAAAATTGATCAATTAAGTGTTTTGCATGAAATAAATGCTGATTTGATATCGCTTTAAGCGTGCATTTTAGAGTCAAAACTGGATAAACTCATTTTGATTATCTGGATGTTCATCCGTCAAGGCCGCTTACTCCTCCCCTTTCCATTGTCATCGATGATTTGTAAACTTTTTTTCGCGTCCGATTATCAGAGGAAACTTTCAATAGCTTTATTTCTATTATTTTATTTTTTATTATATATTTAATAATATATTACATTCAGCTAATTTCAATAGCTTCACTTTACTTTTAATAGAAACTTTCAACTATTGTGGTTTAAAGCCTTTTTGAGTGCATTCACGGCATTGACATGCAGGAGCGTCTTAGTGATGATGAATATCCTCATAGATTCAGTATTAACTGTCTGCAATGGAAAGCATGTTCCGATCTTGGAGTAAAATGTAGATAGTGTTAATGTGTGAAGAAAGTAGGCTCCTATTAATAGAAGTCGTTATTGAATAATAGAAAATGTTGACCATGGTCATGTGTGCAAACCCTATTAACTGCATAAGAATGACTATGGCGTTATGCCAAGAGGTTGATGAGAATTGCATATCATATTATTTAATTGATTTTATTTCAGACACATGTGCCCTTTCAGAGGCACGTAGCATTAGGAAAGAGCTCGCAGATCTTAGTTCTAATCTAGTTCTCACGCACAGATAAAGTACGTAGTCCCACTGTCAAAATGGATGTACATATTTATGATTTACTTTTTTTTTTTGTCTGTGTGATGGTTTTATATAAATGAGGCTCTATCCCATTCATAGGCGGATCCAAACCCATGCGGGAGGTACAAGGAGGGTCCGAAGAGCTTCCTCAAGAAAATTTTCGAGGTATTCTAGCATCTATTATGCAGTTTGAGTCAATTTCGGCATCACCAAATACCTGCAGCCTTCCTTCTTCTTCCCTCCGTTCTTTCCTTCTTTCTTTTTTTCTTCCCTTTTCCCCCTCTTTCTTCAAGCGAACGGGGGGAAAGGGGGACGCTTTCTACTTTTCCCTTTTGGCTCCGCGTATGAACCCATAGTTTTATTTGTCATAGATTTTCAAGAAAATTTAAATCATGTACCTTTGACCTGATTGAGGATCATTGAAAATAGAAATCTAAGAAGTTAATACAACAGAATATTAAAATCTGAGCTAAGTGAATATCCATTCCAAAGACGAATGAACAATTTTAAAATACCTAGCAAACATAAAAATACTCATTCCTATGACAACAACAACGACATTTTCAGTATGAATAGTGCAATTTTATTACTGACCCCAAATTTTTCAAAGGTTGCATGTATGAGTAACAAGGTCTCATCAATGACAATAGCTACTCATCAATGCCTCGGCTCACGTTGGTCTTCACAGTTGTAAACTTCAAGCGATCCTTTTTTTCAATTAGATAACTAATTTCGTTGAAAATTTCCTTGATTTTTTCCTTTGTTCGCAGAATATTCTCTGATCGTCTAGGGCAATGAAGCTTGCTCATTGAGACTTGGCTATTGAAGAGTCCTGAGCATGAACTTGTTAGAAGACGCTGGTGTTAGGCCACTTTACCTAAGTCTCGATGTTCTCAAAATCACCATGCATACATACAACGGTTCAAGGGATCAGACCTTTCAACTGGACGTATTTATGCTAAATTTATGTTTCACTCAAAGCCTATGCACATAGTTCCTTTTGACATAAATACATCCAACTATCTTACATATCGACGGTGAGACTCCCAAACCACGTATCTCGTTTGCAGTGTTCAAAATTAAAATCTCCACTCGGATTTAATTTTTTAAAGTAGAGCAAATCACCTTCATTTCTTAAAGGGTTTTTTTCAAAATTTGCTTCGCACTGAGAAGAGAAATCACGGGAGTTTTTAAAAATTGGCATTGAGCCCACCTCAGAAATGAAGTATGTCAGGAAGTCTGCAACGTCGCAAGCCGAGATACGTGGTTTGGTAGTTTGATATGCATCGTGAGAGAGGGGGGAGGGAGAGGGAGAGAGGGAGGGAAAGAGAGATTATGTAGCTTTTTAATTACAGCTGTATAAACCTATTTCAACTTTTGTTTAATTGAGTAGTTTTGTTTCTTTTTCATTTCCTGTTGTTTTTATCTTTCCTTTCTTTTCATCAAAATTGCCAGCGCGTTGCTCTAAAATAAATGCATTCTACTACCTCTACTTGGTTTCTTTCTTACACAAATACACAAAAATGCCTCCAGTAATTTACCTAAAAAAAAAAAAAAAAAAAAAAACCAAGAAAAACGAAGAAAAACGCGTATATCCAAGGCTAAAAAGCAACAATACGTAAAGCCTGGGACTTTTCGGGGTGGTTCCCTGGTCGAGGAGTAGGTTAAAACCACCCCAAATCGTCCCATTCTTTATATTTTGTCGTTTTTAGCGATTTTCTTGTGTTTTTTAGTTTCTTTCTTCCTGTAGTATTCTCTGTAAGTCAGAGATACTCGAAAATAAAATTATTTTACGTCTTCCACTTTAAGTAGGTATCTGAATCTGAAAAGTTTATTAGTGGTTTTGATCCGATCAAGTTCTTTCTTTTGATCTTTAAATCGATATTAAATATCTTATTTTTTTTTTACAATTGAGCTTTGATAGCCTTCGTTGCTATACACGTGGGAACGCGTGTGCACGTGGAAATTATTACAATTTATTTATTTAGTTATTCATTTGTTCATTCTCTTGTTCCTCTGTAATTATAGTGAATTATTTTTTTACACTTTACCATATGTGCTGTTGCTTTAAATCATATCTAATATGATAACTCACTATTAATACTACGGTGTTTGCTTTGTCGATCATGGAAAAAAGTCACATGAATTTTTCACTAAAGGAGCTTAACTCTTGGATCAAGAATAAAATCGCTTGAATTTAACAAGTTTCTGCTTGATATGAGCGAATTTTGCTTGTGTCCTTTTTTTTCTTTCAATATTTCCACTCGACTTATTTCTTAGAATGTAATTATTTAAAAAGAGAACAAAATTTTAATTATTTCCCCACAAAAATATATACAATTAGTTATTTTTCCTTTCCCTGAAAAGAACGCGTAGAGAAAGTTTGAGATGGGAATATTGTCGATTTTTTTTTTTTTTTTTTTTTTTTTTTTTTTTTTTTTTAAATGACAAATCCATGGAACAGCGCAATCAAAGTATGTATTTTTCTTAGGTGTAGAGGCCTTTTCTTCGTAGGTCAGATTAGTTTCTGAATTTAAAGTAATATCTATTTGAGAATCAATTTTAATCTCAGGAATTATCTATCAGGATCAAATGATTAAATGATTTGAAATTCCACGATTGAAATTGAAAGAACTTACCTGAGCCATTTTCAATCAAAACTCAAATCAGACACAGTCAATGTAACAAACTAGCTAGGTAATTAAAAATTTTAAGTTTATATGTAACGATCTAGTAATCCTTCACTCGCGTGATAGAAATTTTTAACCGTGCAAATTGTTCAAAATCCTACGCGCAACTTAAAACTATCCAAAATGTTACGCTTGAGAGACAAACAATGTAACCGTTCACGACGTTGGATACGATGTAGTTGACAATTTAGCACAGCGCCAATCCCAAATCGAAATGTGTCTTGCAGTCATGTACGCTGAAAGATTCATTGCTAATTACGCTCTAGCCCTTTTCAAGGTGACGTAACGGGTCATGCGTCAAAAAAAGCATGTTGAGTTATGAGACTTTAAACGACAAGGTACATAAATGCCATCGGTGTTTGCACATGGTACATAACGGCACATACAGAATGCTAGTAATTGCTCAATATGTATATGATAAATCACAGATACACGTAGCTAAAAATAATTAAAAGGCATTCAATCATATCAACTCGCTCCGAATGAGTTTGAATGTCTCAAAAACATCTTCTCACCCTCATCTGCGCTCTAATTATTGTTACTGGAAACTCAAAACGTCGGGACCATTGTAAATTAACAGGAGTTACGGACATGCCACGTTTGAGATAATGGGGATTTCTCTTTCAAAATTTTTAGGGTTAAACATTTTCCGACTGATAATTTGCTTGAAACAAAAAAGAAAGAATGATAGAATTACTTCCTTAACAGAGAATCTTTTCGATTTTGCACAATCATGTGAAATAAACAAGGCTAAGTTATAATAAAAGATGGTCCCATTTTCATTTATTTATCCAATTATTATAACTCAAGTTAGAAACATGAAACGGAGGAATCATCAATCGTCATTGAACTTACGTCAGGTTTTTTCCTTATTTTTTCTCTGTTTTGCCTTCGGTTCGGTAACAACATGAAAAAATTTGATAAATTCAAACTTCAAAACGGTCAAACCTTTATTTTCAAATTATAGTGCGGAACAAAGTTGAAACAGGCATCGCAATATCCACTTATCCAGGCTCATGACTCATGAGGCCCTCTGAGAGTGGACCTTTGTAATTCAGTGGCGTGGCATGAATTGCGATATATCGATTGTTATGCCATTTAAACCTATGGAAAAGGATCAATAAACAAGGTGTTCGCAACGAACACCTAAATAATCGATTCTTTACCACGGGTTTAAATGGCAAAACAATCGATACATCGCAATCCACGCCACGTCATTGCTTTAATTATCATTATACATTTAGGTACAAATCGACGGCGTAAGTCCGCAATCACATATCTCGTTTGCGGTGTCTGAAAATCTCCACCTCTATGTAATTTTTTAAAGGAGAACAAATTGACATCATCCCTTGAAATTTTTGCAGAATTTTTTTCGCACCGAGAAGAAAAATCACGGTAGTTTTAAAGAATTGCTGTTGAGTAGTGCTCGTTTAAAAAATAAAGTATGACAGGAAGTCTGCGACGTCGCAAACCGAGTTATGTGATTACCGACTTACACCGTCTAAATGAATGCAAGCACTTGCTCATACGATGTTAAAGAACTCGTTTCACACGATGGATCTGAGAAACTTATCTCCTCATCGAATGTTAAATATTTCAGGTGAAAATCAACCTTTTGGGTTCACATTGATCTGCCTGAAATTTACGGTCAAGTTCAGAGCTTCAAGTTCGCTGCATCAAGGTTAACTACGTGAAAGGCCCCCGCCGTTTAATCTACATGCCGATTTATGCTTTTGGTGAATGGAATACGCTCACACAAACGTAATCTTACATCCCTTTCATTCATGGATTGTTCCATCAATCATTTTTTGAAGGTCAAACGACTCGCACATTATTTCGTTCACCGCTACTCTACCACCCCCCCCCCCNCCCTTTATTCATAAACGGGGAAATATTTTCTTGCGGAGGTCTCAGTTCATTTTTTTAATTCAGACATATCGGTGCGAAATAATTTTCAGACGAGGGTGTGCATTTTTCTAGCCCGCCAGTTAACCCGGATCATGGACGTCTCGATGGAGAGTTCTGCGTCTGTTGCTCACGTAATTAATTTCGATTTTTTTACTATATGTATTTTTAAAATCCGCCTTGTGGAGGGAAATATTTACTACCGAAGGTGTTCCTTTCAAAACTTTGGTTACCCGAAACTAACGCTCGGTTCCCGTAACTGAAAACTTCAGTCACCTAGACTGAACCTTACCGAAGTTTCTTTTCTCCGCATAAAGACAATTCTTTCCTCTGATTTATCAGAGTGAGCAATGTTTCCCTATCATTCATACAAAGTACGTTATGATTAACTACATGACAAATTCGATGTTTTCTGCATCATTTTTCTTTTTCTTTTTTTTTTTTTTTTTAAAAAAACTCAATGTCCCTACGATCATGTGAATTTATTCGATCCGATGCATGTTATACATCGCAATGTAAGTCGGATATCACATAACTGGACTTCATTTTGCAATTCGGAACTATAACTCCCGACCCATCTGTAAAAACACTTATCTGTATAAAGAAACTAATGGTACCTACGATGGTTTTAAACTGAGGCACAATTTATAGTTCTTAATTGAAAAATGTAGTTCAACGCGGTTTGCGGCCTCGCAGACTTCCCGTTACTTTATTTCTCTGTGCGAAGAAAATTATGCAAAAACTTAAAGGAATGATGTCAATTTGTTCTCCTTTAAAGAATAACATAGAGGCGGAGATTTTCAGACACCGCAAACAAGACATGTGATTGCGGACTTGCGCCGTCGATGTAATCTTCACTCTTTTCTGAAAATATTTGATGCAAATTCGTTTAACTCTACCTCCGTTATCCGTAACAATCGGCTTATTTTTGCCGAGGTTTTTTAAGGGAGGAATTTTCATAGAGATTTTGAGTGAATTTTCAATCATGTTTCCTGATTCGTGACAGAGAATGGGAAAATGTCCCTCAGGCCGTGCAATTTTGTCTCTTCAACCTTTCACTTTTATCCGCCTCTCATCAACCGGATTTGTTTGGATAGTTTGAAGTGTGCTCTACAAAGTGATAGGGCGTTTTTAAATGTAAGGGAGTGGAGTTAATGGAGGGATAGTTCCTGAAACCACTCGTGACCTGCACGCGCTCTGAATTAACAAGCTGTGGGGAGGAAAGACATGCCATCTTCCCTGCGTGAAAACTTAAACCTGGGAAAATTATGGGTAGGATTGACCGGCATTAGAGGGTAACTTTCAGAGAGCTAGCGGGTTCAATGTATTGGTGAAAGGACAAGATGTTACAAATGGGAATCATTGTGCATGTGTCCCGCAAAGGGTGGAATGAACTTCCGTGCCAACCCCCTGAGACCAACTTTCGCAGCCAGTCCAACTTTGTCATCTAATGCTCGTCGATCGTGATTGTGATGAACTAAGTTTAATGCTGAGATACTCGCTTGCATGTCCTTCTACTTTTTGCGTTAGTTGTGTTGCGAGTTACTAACTTAGCCTAAGCTAGTCAAGATTCAAATATCAAAGCTATAGGAATGTAATTTCTGTTTTCGCATTCGCGTTTTAGCCGTTGGAGGGATTTTTTACTAGAAAAGGTACGAAACTTTCCCCCTTTTTTCCATTTTTTTATTTTATTAAGTTCCATGCACAAGCCTGCCTCAGAAAACTGCTATCCTATATACTTTACCCTTCTAATATTTTAAGATGCATTAGTCTCCTGTGCCATTGAAAAAAAAAAAAAAAAAANAAAAAAAAAAAAAAAAAAAAAAAAAAAAAAAAAAAAAAAAAAAAGTTGATATCTTTAAACGCTAGTGACATTTCTTGGTTAATTAATCTGTTTCGTTTTTTGTCGTGTCTTGTCAATATAGTAATATAGTATTGATGCTTTCACTGTAAATAACAAACAGGCCTTTACCTACAAAAAAAAAAAAAAAAAAAGTTGATATCTTTAAACGCTAGTGACATTTCTTGGTTAATTAATCTGTTTCGTTTTTTGTCGTGTCTTGTCAATATAGTAATATAGTATTGATGCTTTCACTGTAAATAACAAACAGGCCTTTACCTACCATGCATTTACCCATTATCTACCTTATTTTATGGTCATACTTGAAAATTCGGCTATCAGCAAAAATATTATCATGTTCTGTATCTGTGTGCTGTATTAAGGAACACTCGAATGGATTGGCAATTTTGCAAGTTTTTGCATTATCAAAATTATATACAAAATCGAAATAATGACAAATCCTTGTGTCTCTTTACATGGACAGAGTTCTGAAATTCAGCAATCGACTTAACTAAAAATGTTTTTTTTTTTTTTTTTTTTTTTTTNTTTTTTTTTTTTTTTTTTTTTTTTTGTGATTCTCAAGAGGTCTTAAACATATAAATAAAAAACCTACATTAATTGGACGGAGTTAAGCAGAAAGGAACCAAGCCACATCGGGATCGAACCGAGAAAAAGAGGTTTAACGTTTGGCTCCTGCATTTAAGACTCAATGTAAAAGATAAACTTCAAGTTCAATTTCTGCAAAATTTGCTCCAACAAAAACTTTGAATTTTTGGTGATGGATAGTAGAACAGTGGTTGAGTTCAAAACCACTCATAACTCAATTTTTTCCAAAATGTGGGTCGGTTCCTTTCTGCTTAACTCAGTCCAATTTTACTGACTTCTCGTGCTATCTGTTTCAAATGGCCATTTTTTTCTCATTTTTTTCCTTTATGGATTTGAGAGGAAAATTTACGGAAGCATACATGTGATGTTTTAGGAGTTGGATGACGACGCAAGTAATAAAACACACACTCGACCAAAAGTTGAACATATATTGCTAAAAAGCTTAGAGCGAGTTTCGCACCTGGACACTGATAACCACGCCATGTTAATGCAAGAAATGCTTCAAACATTTCGTCTAGTACACGATTTCGTTTCAAAAATTGAACAAGAAGCTTATAGACTCGAAAATTACAATTCAGGTAAATTCTATTATTTTACGCGTAGACTCAATTCTCAATAGAGAAATCGGTAGTTTTATTTTGATCTGCCTAGAAACAAAATTGCAGAATGTACTCGGATTTAAGACAGACGTCATCGTATTTAGCACCGAAAAGTTACAATTAAGAAACTGCTCTTTTGCAGTCCGCTCCTAAAAAATTCACATTCGGAACCTGAGGTAATGTGGTGTATGATGATTTGGAGTTTGGTGAGCGAGTTCTTTCATCCCAACGGTGCCCACTCATCTTCTGCGGAAACTTAAAAAAACGCGCCTACATAGAAAACAACTGATCGTCTCTCTAACACAAACGTATCAGAGCTTTCCCGCTTGATTTTCAGTCGCACACATTGGACCGAGTTCATCGGAAAGGAACCAACCCCCATTTTCGAAAAAATTGAGTTAAGATTGTTTTCGAGTTCCTCTAGTTGTATATTTTCTTCTGCCAAAAACTCCAACTCGAAGAAAAATATTAATTTGCGATAAGAGGGGTCAAAGTTCACTTTCTGCATCGAGTCTCATGGAGGAATATAACTTCAAACCTCTTTTTCTCCGTTTCAACTTGATGTGGGTCGGTTCCTTTATGATAAAATTAGTCCCATTATTCTCTGACCGCTACAATGGTAAGGACCGATAATTAACTGACATATATCGCACAGAGGGCCGATTATTGAAATTGATAGGCAAAGCTACAGACAAAGATGACAAAAGGAATATGGAGGGAGCCTACTGGTGGAAGCTGGTGGTTGAAATGGACAAAGGCAGTAGGTAATAGACTAACTAACGGCAACCCACGAGAAATTCGACAGCTAGTCCATTATTTTCTCCCTTAGTGTGTGAGAACCATACATTTCAACCAATAGGATCGCTTCACACTGAAAAAAAAAGTTCGGTAAATCCGAACTGGTTAGGATCATATGGAACCAGGTTTTGTTCGGTACACACAACCGAATTATTCGGTCTGTTCAACCAAATTGTTCGGTTTGTGCGACAGAACCATAATAAATTCTTACAGTTCGGTTCAGTGGACCGAACAGTTCGGCTGAGCAGACCGAATAATTCGGTCGTGTGTACCGAACGAAATCGTGGTTTCATATGATCCTAACTAGTTCGGATTTACCGAACTTTTTTTTTCAGTGCATATCCCCTATGTCCTTTTTGTCTATAGCTTTGTCTACCAATTTCAATAATCAGCCCACAGTGATGTTGGTGTCATGTCAGCATATTGTTTTGAGTTTATATGGAGATTATTTAAGGATACAGAGCATTGGCCATCGCAGTTGTCACGTCGAGTCCGATTCTCATTCGTGCCGTGAGGACCTACAGGTTTTGATGTCTATATATTAGGAGAAATCGTAGTGAAAATATGAAAGTCGCTGACAGACGAAATGAGTTTATTACGCGGTTCAAAATGCGGGAAAAGCGAGCCTCAAAAAATGCCGCTGTGAAACTCTGACCCGAGCCGCGCCGTGTTCTTATGCACTGCGTGATGCACGCAACCCTCCTGAAGTCGTCTTTTGTTAGTCTCTCTCATAATTCCTTCTGTTTATTCTTTCGGCCGACCGTTTAGCCACAATTTCATAGTTTAAAAGAACCACCCCGAAGTGATCTGATGTGTGGAAAAGAGGAGCATTCGGAACTTATTTTACCACGACTAAGCCACTATTTGGACCTCCCCGATTTGCGCACTGAGAAAAAAAGTTCGGTAAATCCGAACTAGTTTGGTTCATATGGAACTAAGATTTTGTTCGGTACACACGACCGAATTATTTGGTCTGCTCAGCCGAACTTTTCGGTCCACTGAACCGAACTGTAAGAATTTATTATGGTTCGGTTGCACAAACCGAACAATTCGGTTGAACAGACTGAACAATTCGGTTGTGTGTACCGAACAAAATCGTGGTTCCATATGATCCAAACTAGTTCGGATTTGCCGAACTTTTTTTCTCAGTGCGCTTTTCAACGGAAAGATCGAGATGTCTCTATAGAATCACGTTCGATAATATCGATAATTTATCACGATTTTTTGTTCGATAATATCGTGATGAATCGCCGCACAGTGGATCGAGTCAATCAGAGAGGTCGGACATGATATTTTTGACTAAAACTGCAAATTTTGATGTCTAATTCGTCACATTTTAAATTTTAAGGGGTGTTTCTGGAAGAAAATTTTATGAGGAAACCAATGGAACCACTTTTAAAACCTCAAAGTTTTGTATGAACAGAGTTATAAGCTTTTAAAGTTTCCAATTTTGTCTGACCTCTTCCATAGACTCGATCCACTATGCGCCGTCGATAAAATCTAAATTTTACTGCGAATTAACGAGATGAAAACGCAATTTTTTATCCGATAATATTGCAATAAGTGAGCGTCGATAAAATTGCGATACATTCTCCGATCAAATTGCAGCTTATCGCGATCGCTGCTACTTGGGCCATGCCACTGTTTGTCCGTGTCTGTGTTTCACATTTCCTCATTATTATATTTTAATATTTTCTAAATGATTATATGGATTAAAGTAAGCTTTGAAAATGTGTCCTAATCGTGTACTCAGTGGAAACACGGTGGATAAATCACATTTTTAATTGCCAAAGAGATTTTCCCGCCTTTCGAAGACGGAGGAAAATAACTTTTCATCCTCTCTTTTTAGGATGCCAATCAAAAAGCAATTCAGAGTTACTGAAAGCAGAGCAAGACCTTGATGAGCAGCTGATGTTGGGATGTGAAGTTATGAGCAAAATAAAAAAACTGCTTACGCTAGAGAAAGCCACGAATCTAGAGGCTCAAGAGCTGTATAGGCCATTCAACTTTAATTTCGAAAAAAACCGTAAATTTTAAAATTGGAATTGTCATTCGTTACTTAGTTAAGTGCCTATAAGTTTAAGTTTCAAGAGGGTGAGAACCGATGCATAGAATACTTACGACAAAACGAGAAAAACACTAAAAAATGGCCCGAAACTGTATGTAACAAGGTGGAGAAATGGTGCTGGGTCCTCGCCATTTCGCGGGGAAATCGAAGCCGAGAAATTTCAAAAATTACAATTAGAATAAAAAAATGTTGACTCTAATGAGTACCAGTCCAAAACTGAGGGGGAGAGTGTATTAGTGAGAGGGAATGAGAGTGTGTTTATAGATCTCTCGGCGTGGCCTCAACTTAATATTCTAATGCGAACTGCCTGAGCTGAACACTCTCCCCTCTTAGTTTTGTACTGATGCTCATTAAAGTTAAAAATTTTTGACTCTAATTGTAATTTTTGAAATTTCTCGGCTTTGATTTCCCCGCAAAATTGTGTGGACCCAGCACCATTTCTCCACCTTGTTACGTACAAGAAAATGTACCTCTATTTATCTTACTCTGGTCCACCTATTCCTCGCACTAAAATTACCAGTGCTTTTCTTGACTATCTAAGCAGTGGCAATAATGTCTAAAATAGTTAAGTAAAAAAAATGTACGATCAAAAAAAATTGAGTCCTTAATTTTCACCACCCCGAAACTTCAGTGTCCCAAAACACGCAGTCATACTCTGAAAGTGCGAAGACTTGTCCTGCCGATTTTGCTGATAAGCGTGATTCCACGGCCTCTATGTGGAAAATATGTCCAATTTTAAATCTCAGATACTATTTTCATGATGTGGCAACATTACAGCTAGACCTATATTGTTGCATATTGCACTTGTAAAATTTTATCGGCACTACACACAATTATATAGACTTAAAACTTTTTTTGCGGCTATCACGCCGGATTTTCGAACTTTCCAACAATGAGGCAGTCACCTGAAGATGGGCGGCCTGACCACCCGAAATGGCCATCGTGAATAGTAAATAAGTAAGTAATCGGTTTTGCCAAAAAAAGTTTTAAGTCTATATAATTACAGCTAGACTTGACTTGATACAACATGAAAGTTAATCGCTCAATAACTCAGATAATCGATCTACTAAAAAAATGTTAACATTTTTCTTTGCGAATAGCTGAGGACTCAGATGACGTCACAACACTCGTAAGTACACTGTCACCTACGCGGAAAAGTAGGAAGTTTTCTTGGGTGAGGCGTTTTTACTTAGATATTGAAGATCTGGTGAACCGATTTGAACGAATAATAGACAAACGTCAAGAAAAAACCGTCAAAAAAGGTACATTTATTACAATTCATCTATTCATTTGAGGAGAGATGAACTGAGAATATTATTCAGATTGTGATTTTATTCTGCAAGAAATTTCCAATGTCAAATATTTTTATTTCACCACAAGAAAGCGATTAAAAAAAATTTTAAAAAAATAAAAGGAAATTGGAAGTTTGTTTTTTCTCGTAGGCTCTGGGTTTAATTAAGAGCAGAGAATGAGAAACACAATTTTAACAACAGTGCAATGTAAATAGGTACCTAGTTCATTCCACCAAACTTGGTTCATTAAGCAGTTCTTAGGTCAAATACCTGATTTTACGCCACGAAAGATACTACTGTAAAATAAATGGTCTAGAGCGCCTTCCATTGGACCGAGTTTAGCAGAAAGGAACCTCAGCTATTGCCAAGTTTAACTGGGCAATTAAATTTTTTACGAGAGAGCGTTTGTTCGGATTTCTTTGAAAATGTTAAGGAATTTGCTCTGTACCATGGAGAATTTTCACTGAAATTTGCACGGAAATCCACACAACCGTTTTCATGTAAAAAATTAAATTGCCCAATTAAATTTGGCAATAGCTGATGTGGCTTGGTTCCTTTCTGTTGAACGCGGTCCAATTCTCTCAATACGCAACTTGTGCAACCCTTTATCAGGATTAGGTATTTGAGCGCTACTATTCGGATGAAGGAGTAGAATGACTTTTTTGATGAATAAAAGTGTGAGAATAAAAAGTTTCGTGTTGATGAATTACATGAAATTGGTTCTCAGAATCAGTTTTTCCACTACCGAGTGGTGCTTCTTTAAAAAAATCATATAAAATATAATACAAGATGAAATTTGCAACCCCGCGTTTTTAGGTGCGCTATCGATATGTATGTTTCCTCAATTTTGCTATCGATATTTTCCATTGTAAGAAGAGTTATTTTAAATGTGATTAATCTTTCGATGGCGAAAAACCAGTGGAACACAGTTTACAACATACAAAAGGCAACAATTTCAAAATGAGATGAATGAGATAATTCCACAATTCGAGTGGTGATCGAGGGTAAGCTACCACATCTGTGTATAATTCCAAAATCCCCATATTATGAACATCCTTTTTCATCGTCTTTTGAGAATGAAATGGCATTTACTTAATCCTATGAGAAAAAAAATCAAACCTTGTTTCAGTGGTGCCAGTCACGGCGTCGCAGTTCTTATTTCCAGCAGATAATGAATTGGAGGCAACGGAAACGGGACAAGTCAATAATAACAATGTCGAGTACGTTGAAGTAAGTACAAGTCGATGTCCAAAGTGCGAAACCTCGTATCCTCGCTCAAGACGATGCAAACTTTCTGTCATTCTTTATTTTTTCCTCGGAAAACTGTAGTCAACGTAATTTATTTAAAACCTTCTTGATTTGTCTTCTTTATTCGCAGAATATTTTGTATTGAGTTCAAGCTATACTGCCGCTATACTGCCTAGCTTATACTGCCGTACAATGCAAAAACGCCGTAAGCGCCATTTTAATTTTTTTGGAAACAATGTATCATAGCAAAAAAAATTGTGTACCTGCGGACATGTTTTTACAGAATCCTTTCGAAAATACTATCAAGAACTTAACCTGAAAATTTGAGGTGCATGGGTAAAATAGTTTTTATTTTATAAAGGTTAAGTTCCAAAAAACGCGGGGAAATCTTGATGGATTTACGGCGTTCTTGCTTACAACAGCAGTATAGTTGACTTATTTTTCTTCGAAAAAATAAAATCAGAGCGGAAGTTTCGAAACACTAGATTGGAGATAAGTCATTTTGCACTTTGGCCTTCGAAATGTTTTTCATTCACCAGCCGTTTTCTAGGTTGTTATTTCTCATTCTCTGTAAAACATTCGACCACATTCATACGTATCAATATATTACTACTTATCCCCTTCATGGCCAGATTTACCTACTTGCCGCCCATGGGCCGCCTGTGTTTTGCCGCCCTCTCATTCATTTTGAAACATCAATAAAAACCATCAAGTGAACGTGCCGGAGGGAGAAGGGTGCATAAGACGCGTTCACTCGTGTTGGACACATTTTTTGCGTAAGCCCTGTCAACACTACTGGCAAAAGTTCACGGAACTTCGCGCGAAAGTTCAGTACCGTAAACTTATCTCTGTGGTGACGAGGCCTTTCATTTGTAAGAAATGAACCAAAAAATTGGGAAAGAATAAACATAAATTTTAATGTGGTTTAATAATTTTAACTTCCGCCGCCGTGCCGCGCTGACCACATTGTGTTTGGCGCAATGCGTGAAGTATCCATGGAGTCTTGTAGGCACCGTGCGTTTCACGCCGCGCCGACCGCTGTTGACCGTACTGTGTTTGACGCAATGCGTGAAGTATTCATGCAGTCTCGTAGGCGCTAATATGTGTTACATGCCGACCGCCGCGTCGAGGGCTTCTCCTTTTCATCTCAAGTCCTCGTCATAATTTCTCTTTGCGCCGCGCCATCCAGGCCAAATTACATGTTTGGTTTCTCTCTTAACTCAACTAATTAAAGGTGCGCAGTCTTTTGTATCACCGAAATACGACACAATTAGAAATTAATGAACTCTCAGGAAATGAGAGATTTTGTCACCTTTTCTTGTTTGTAATTTTTTTCTAAATCCGATTTTTTTTTTTACCTGCATTTAAAAAAATTGCAAAATTTGCCGCCCCCTAATTTTGCCGCCATGGACCGCGGTCCATGCGGCCACTCCCTTAATCCGGCCCTGATCCCCTTATTTCAGCAGTGAAATTAAAATATTTTGGTGGCCAAGGAAAGTCTAGCCACCCCGCGCTTGCATTATTCCACAACCTGGAAATCAGTTCATACCTATACTCACGATTTTAAGTATTATGTACCGACGATGGCTTAGGTCAAAAAGTGTTTATTCCCAACTGCAGCGTTACAATTCTGTGTTTATTTTAGCCTATTCTGCTATCAATGTTTTATTTTTTTATAAATCAAAATAATCGGTAGTTTTTCCTCACTTATTCTGTAATTGTTTATCTCTCACTCAAAATAAATACTCATAGAGAATTGCTAGGAAATTGTATTTTTAGTTTTCTTTGAAAAAATAATTAAACGGAATCGGAGATTTGGAGGCGTTGAATGGAGTTACGCATTTGTTACTGTAGCCATCGATATAGCCATGCAATATAGTACTAAAAATATTGGGAGGTGGGAGAGGAGAGTAAAACTTTTTCAAAGATCTCAATTATTGATCGATATTCTGTTATAATTTTCATTAAAATGGCTCTCACACTAAATTACTCGCGGGACATTGAAATTGCGTTTTGGACTTTGAAATTTCAATATAACTTCTCAAAAAGTGAGATTGCGGAATACATAAAATAGGCTGGATCATACCCTTAGCATTAGTTTCATTAATTTTTCTTCCGCTGAAAAATTTCACCAACAAAATTAAACTCCCTAAGGATATCTTGACCTGAAATGTGCGGATGTTTTAACTTCTAAATGTTCTCCTTTCTTCGTTTTTTTTTTTCAGAATCACTGAATCACTTAATACTGAAAAATAGTAAAAAGGGCTCAAGGAACACTTCATGATACAATTCTTTCGCTTGATAATGCACATCAAATGCATACTTAAATTTTTGTTTTTTGTATCTTTTATTGCTTCTTATAGAAAACGGCAGTTGAGGTTCTGGCAGAGCACCTTGAAAAAACAGACTTGGAGCCTACGTACAAGCATATTAATATTGAGGGTACCGGTCATGCCCTGGAACACACGTTCTCGTGTACCGTGTTGAATCTTTCAGGTGGGTAAATGAAACATTCTAATAAATGAAGATATACCGACTAAAAATGTACTTCGACGGTGGAAGTTCGCAACAACGTACCTCAGATTTCTCAGGAAAGCAAAACATCTGTTCATACCTATTCCTCATCTTTGAGGGTAGAGGGGAAATAAATCTTGAAGACAATAAGGATAAGATGCTTTTTAAGGCTCAATCAGCATTTTGAATGATATTCCTGTGGATCAGGGTAAGACCGAAAAACCGAGACACGTGTTCTTGAAGATGAAGGTCAATCTCGATTTCGAGATACGTCGTTTGAGAATTACTGTGTTGAACATATTTTTTGCCGACTCTGACTGAGAAAAGACTCGAAATGTAGTTTAACAGGAGAAAAACAAGGGAAAGAGACAAACCTAAAACACAACACTAAAAGCCGAGTTGTTTTGACTCGAAACTGAGTCATCCTTAAACGGAAAATAAATTAAAAATTGTAAAATAAAGAAGAAATAACCTGCACGGAGAAAAAAACTTCGTGCGTGGGACCCGAAGTTTAGGTCATATGGATCTCTGAAGTTTTCAGATTGAGCATCTGAACACTGAAGGTCTAGCTGTCGAGGTTCGGATCACACATCTGAAACTTCAGTTCTTACATCTGAAGTACTTCAGATATAGGAACCGAAGTTTTTCGGATGTGAAAACCTATCAATAGGAAAATTTCACGAGGAAACCAATGGGACCACTTGTGAGACCTCAAAGTTTTGTAGGAACGGAGTTATAAGCTTTTAAAGTTTCCGAATTCCGTCCGACCTCTCCAATTGACTCGATCCACGACTATGGACCGGTGCGCACGAACTTTAGGTAGGCACCATAGATCGAAACATCAATTGCGAGTTCACGCCTCGCATCATCGCGCCTTCAATTTTACAGATGCAACATGGTCGTCCATCAAGCACGAATAGTTGTATCTCTGCGCCGTCACTCACGCACTTCCTTTTCTTTGCTCTACTTCCATATTGTGTTGGTTCCGTTGTTTGTTATATTTGTTGTGATGCTTCAAGGGCTACGTGAGGTGCACAGCCGCAGTTAGGAGATACGCACAATAATTGGGCCTGAGCCTAGCTTTTTGTATTTTCTCTCAAATCTGAACGACACCTCATTTTAGCAGACTAGAGTGGAGAGAAGCAAAGTGACCCCTCGTGTCATCGGGACTTCATTTTTGCGTATGCAACACGTACATCCATCAAGTGCGAATAGCTGTATCTCTGCGCCGTCATCATCGTGTTTTGAGGTGTCTTTTAATTTTGAAAGAAAGTTAAGTTGATGAAAGTGGAGATGAAGAAAATCAATAAGTGTTATTATTATTCTACCGTTTAGAACACCCAATGCGCAGATTTCAGTTCCAGTACATTAAAAAGAGAAATATATTGATTTTTTTTTTTTTTTGTAACTGTTCTTACGCATAGAATTGCATATTACCGAATAAACAACTCTCCTTAAAGAAATTACATAATATGATACTTTCCTAATATCATTTTTTCAAAACTCCATGGACTTTGATTGCTTTCCTTTAAATGTCTCATTTTTTTATGTATCAGAGTAAATTGTGCAATTTTTTGTCCGTAGTCGAGGGTAAAGGATCTAAAAAGTCTACCGCCAAGGAAGAGGCAGCATTACAGATGATCAAGCTAATTTTGAAAAAACAGAAAAATAATCATTTTACAAAGCAAATAGCACCGTTCTCTGTTGAGGAGTAAGTAATGTTTTTGCACCCAGACACAAAATTTTAACCAATTGCATCGGCGCGGCGCCTACAAACCTAACTGTGATACTTCACGCATTGCGCAATGCGTGAAGTATCACTGTTGGGTTTGAAGGCGCGTTTCGTTTCGTGCGGCGCGGTATGCGGCACCGCGCCACGGCGGACGGGTAACTGCGATAGCAAAAAAGCATCACGGCAATGTCAATCTTGAGTTCCATGTCTATCTTTAGACATTAAGAGAATCAAGAAAAAAGTATGATAAAATAGGTACTGCAAGAATAATTATTTGTGTGGAAAGATTTTTCGCAAAATGCGAACGATTGTGCCTAGAACTGTTCAGGTATTTGGTTTAGAGTGTCCTGAAAATAGAAGTATTTAAACATTGTTTTATCATAAGATTTTTGCATAAGAAAAAAATTGAATGAAAAGTGGTAAAAAACGATAGAAAATCAATTTAGGCATTTTTTTCCCACATCATTGTAACGTACATATCGATGTATGAAATTTAAAGTCAACTTTCAAACAAATCTGAAGAGGGAACTCGGACACTGATATTTTAAAACTTTAATTAAACTTTTCTCTCTTTGTGCAGACATGTATACTTATTTCAGAATGGAGATGTTGCATGTGTGAGGAATTTGCGATTTGACTATTGATTCTTATGTAAAAGTTTGCGAGAAACACGATGATGCCACTGGTTATCTCTGAAATCAACTTCCAAGCTCAAAAAAAGCTCTCAAGTTGAGGCCAAAATGGAGGGGATATCCCACGCTATCCTGAGAGTCCACCTCTACATCAAGACCACCTATCCATGCAAAGGTAGGGAGCAAATACATTGACAGGGCTACCACTTTATTTGGGGACTCTAAAACTGAAAACACGGCAACCCTGCTAATATGTATTTGCTCCCTATCTTTGCCTAGAGAGTTTGTCTTGATGTAGAGATGAACTCTTATGATAGCATGGGATATCCCCTCCATTTTGGCCTCACTTTGAGAGCTTTTTATTGAGCTTGGGAGTTGATTTCAGAGAAAATCAGTGACACCATCGTGTTTCTCGCGAACTTTTACATAAGATGCAATAGTCAAATCGCAAATTCCTCACACATGCAACATCTCCATTCCGAGAAAAATACTTAATTTTAAGTTTCCATCCTTTATAATTCTAGAACTTTCAATTTTCCTCTCTACAGGATAAATAAAATGGGATCTCTTTTGGATACTAAAATATTTGACTACGTTCAGAAACTTCATGAGCTGTGCGTGAATTCGGGCGAGGAGCGCGAACCCATCTACACGGTTTTATCCGAAACTGGCCCGACAAATGAGCCGTTCTTCTCGGTTAGGTGTGAGGCCTTAAACAGCGTTGGAGTAGGTGAGGCACTAACGATTTGTGGATTAATCTCTTCCTCCGTCTTTCTGCAACGCTTAAATTCGGTCATAACTGAGTTCTAATTGGATGTTGCAAGCAGTTTTTGAAAAAATTAGGGTATTGATGATTTCAAGTAAAACTACTCCTCATCTCTCTACTACGTATTTCGTAAGAAATTCACTCCCAAATTCCAAGTTTTAAACGTCAAAAAATCAGTTTGAACTTTCTTTTCGCCATAAGGACCCGTGTAATTTCAAAACTTCAAACACGTCCTCCTCGAAGTGGCAAAAACTGCACTTATGCGCCTTGTCCTCCAAGCCCCTCAATTCTGCAATGAACCTGTTTTTTTTATATATATAAAATTTATCGACGAAAATGGTGTAGTTTTCTCAAAATATTCGGTTAAAAACATTACACTAGTTCTTTCAACGCTTCTAGGAAAATAAATTTATTATTTGTACAAAAATACATTTTCCACGATTATGTAGAATGCCATGTAAACGTCACAAACTATTCAAGATATATCCTCGCAATTTTTGTGGCTTTAAAAAAATAAAACAAATTAGCGGATTTATATGTTACACCGAAACGGACAATGGGCATTTGTCAACTTCAGATAGATAGTAATTTAAATAAGACTTTTTTTTGCGTGATTTCAACGTTTCATTTCCAATCTTTTTTGGTTCATTTTCAGGTCACGGATCGAAGCTTGAGGTGGCTCGCCAGTTAGCCTCTAAGACAATCCTTGATTCATTGGTAAGGAAAGAAAGGTAGGTATTATAAATATCCACCTGAAGCTAATAAGAGGATGAAAAAAAGACGATGAATATTCAAAATGAAAGGCCGCCTCGACCAAATTGCAGCACGCGGTAGTTTGGCTCGCGATCTTCCATTCAAGGCTCTCGTTACATGCGATCAAATTGCAGAAGAATTTCTATCAACTGCGGCTGGAATTGTGTTTACTACTTACTCATACCTCCTGTCAAATTTTAATCGCATCAGTGGCGTGGCGTGCTTTGCGATACATCGATTGATCGGCCATTTAAACCTATGGAAAAGGATCGATAAACAGGGTGTTCGCAGCGAACACCCTAAAAATCGATTCTTTACCACAGGTTTAAATGGCATAACAATCGATATGCCACGATATGCGATTCGCCACGCCACTGAATCGCATCCCGCTAATAATTAACAACGGCGGGATCTTTAAGTTCTTGCTGTGGCTACAGAATTGTGTTGATCTCGTTACAGTTTGTGTTGAATAGTAATAAATGAAGATAACATTTCTGTTTGTAATTAATTATCATAATAAACCTGGTTTTTACAATCAAACCAACATACGTTGCGTTCATTATTATTATAATACGTCTTCAATAGTTGCCTAGTGCATATCGCTTAGATATTGTAGTAAAATTAGTTCTTCGCTTTGCAAAATAATTCTCTGTCTCAAAAATAAACTGCTGACTTTAATTAAGTAATAAAATATGCGGGATTAAAAAACTTAACTGGACCAATATTTTTCTCACACATGTAACAATATGGATAATTCTAACTATCTAAATGAGTATTGATGGATCTGAGTGATTTGACACCCTATAATAAGTTAGGCGTGTCAAGGGTTGGGGGGGGGGGGTGCCAGAGGATCTAAACATATTATACCTAAAATTTTGCTAGACTTTTTTTAAAAATTATTATGGACTGTTTTCATCTATAAAGAACCCGCTATTTCCCTCTCCCTTAAGAAAATTTTCAGTTTTGCACCGAACTGGATCCCTTTGTAGGAAACTTCTCGTTACGCCACTGTTAATCACCGAAGTGTATTTAATAAGCAGATCATTATTTTTTACTGCGTCCTCACAGAACATATTATTGGTCACTGCTGCCAATCCTTAGAAAAACAGTTTCTGATTTCTAAAATTTATTTCTCGATCTATAGGTACTTGATCGTTCCACACTTTAATCAAACCGTTGAAATCTGCTGGCGGAAATGGAGACAAAATGAAGGTGACAGCCAATTGGATTTTGACGGTCACTTGACTGTATTGTCAATTGTCAATTGATGTAAGAAGATAAAAAATGAAAACCCGGTCACCGCTTTCTGTTTCACCCAGTAGCCAAAATGAACCACAAAAGTGGCATTGATGAACTTTAGAATCTATTAGGTGGCCCTATAGGTAATCAAATCTCAAAACTGTGTGGAGGTCCACTCCAAATGAAAGTCCCCCTTTTTAACGTGTACTTCATAAAATGAACCAACAAAAAAAAGGACTACTCTCTAAAAATATTAAATGCTGAACAAATAAACAACGAGCTAAAATTAGTAGAATTTGGTCAAAATGTATTGTACTTATCTCGTTACACGTTTCTCGTTAATATTTTCAAAATTTCCTAGGCGTGTTTCGGAGACGTCTAGTAAAATTCAATTTTTTTGACAAGGTGTTAGTGTACTGAATTTTACTGGATTGTTGTAAAACTCTAGCGATAACTTCAAAATTCTTATTCTGAAGAGAATGCTCTCTAACAAAAGCTTGCGGAACAACCGGTGCAAGCGCGTCAATTTGAAAAAGCCCGCTACGAAAGCCCGTCAATTTGAAAAGACCGCTACTAAAACCGCGGGAACTTCTGCGCATGCGCTTTGCGTCTGATCAGTCTGATGCTAGATGATGATGATTGATGAAACTTCGTTTACGTTCAAGTTCGTTTGCTTTGCTTGTGTTTTCGTTGGGCATGGAGTTGGTTTTCATCCTCGAGCGTTTTTAAACGTTCCCCTCTATTTTTGAAAAATGTGGTGGCGTGCACGTCTATAATGGATAAAGAAGTCGAATCCTACAGTGGCCTAGGCCAAGAGGTAAGTACTTGTAGTCAATCTTCAGTGAACATGCATTTTCTAACCTCAAACGCTACCGGCGATGGCGAGGTAAACATGCACATGTCCGGAGCTTATATTTAAATTACTGCCTTAAAATATTGAGGATACCATTAGAATTATAAACAGCATTCTCATCTGAGAAATTCTATCTTGTATCCATCCTTCCCGAATCGCCACAATAAACCTAATGTATCTCCTGCCAAGTGACAAGAGTAATGGCAATGGATCGTCTCATTCCTTGGACACTGGCTCTCTCCTAAATTTGCGACCTCTTTGTCAGGTCAAGGCCACTTTTAATTCTTAGCCCTAAGCAGAATATCCACTGTTTTATCCTAGCAGCTAAATTGCATTACTCTATAACGTAAGCCCCTTCGTACACTTCAATCGCAACCTTAAAGGAACTTCTTCCATAGACTGCGCTGTTGCACATCTCAGCCACAACCTTGAAGGAACTGCTTCCCTGGACTGATGCAGTGGTCATGGGATTCTTGCGATAGTCGATGTATTATTTTCTTATAATTGAGACTCAATTGCAACATCAATCTTTAGTTGGATTCAGTGTATGCTTGGTTACTTACTTGTGCCAGTTCATCAAGATTTTGTCATCAGGGAATCCTAACACAATTGATAGTGAGGAAAACTCAGAAGTATTCCTCCGCCCTGCCATGAAGATGACAGGGTTATGCGTCTGTTTACACTGAAACCATCCAACCGCAAAGTGCTACAAATGACGCACCTATTCACTATATCAGTCCATTTCTATGCTTGGTCAAATTAAAATCGCATATCGACGGTGTAAGTCGGTAATTGCATAACTCGGTTTGCGACGTCGCAGACTTCCTGTCATACTTTATCTTTTAAACGGAAAACTACTCAATGGCAATTCTTTCAAACTGCCGTGATTTTTCTTCTCTGTTCGAAGAAAATTCTGCTTAAGCTTCATGGAATGATGTCAATTTGATTTCTTTTAAAAAAATAACACAGAGGCGGAGATTTTCAGACACCGCAAATGAGTTATGTGATTGCCGACTTACACTGTCGATATTTAATACACTGACAGCTTTGCAACAAAGTCTACCAAGACATTAATCTCTAGTGGCATTTTGAAAAATGAAAATTTCAATTACAAACTTAAAAGAATCTTAGGATTAGGATAGGAATCCAAGGTGAATCAGATACTTGTAATAGGACAAAGGTGAGTCAGACTTTTGTATCATTGATGCCTGATTATATTTCCCGATGATTGTACAAGTGTTTTTAAAAAAAGGAATAAACGTGGGAATCATCAACATCCTTTGTCGGAAGCGCTTGTTCTTATATTTTCAATGTTTTCACTGGGCATCTGTGGCATTAGGCTTCCTTATTTGTTTGTTCAGCTGGCTGCCTCCAAACTACTTGAGCTATAAGCCTACGCATTATACTGATTTATTTCTATCTTTGGTTTGTAGTTTTAGAACTAATATACATCAGGGCTTTTTTTTTTCATCCAAACTACAAAGGATTGGTATGAACCGCGCTGCTTTTTTATTCCAGTCCACCGCTTTGGTCCAGCCCGATCCATGTGCTCCAGTAGAATTGTAGGTACGTGCAATCTAGCCTCAAGCAGAACTGGTTCAAATCATAGATATCCCAATCCATCGCGTTCCGCGGATAAAAAAAAGTCCTCTACTGACAATCGTCTCTTTTCATCAGATTTACAGATTCTTGACAGTTATTGGACTTCATAATAGAACCCTCTTGATAGCCAAATACTGAAAGCCAACAGGGCACTCTTTCGTGCCTGGCAAATATATTGTGTTTGTTAAGTTCATCAACGAAAGTCTTTTCAAACCTGCCCTGTTTTTTTTTTTCTTTTTTCAGACTGTAGAACACAAGAATATGCAAATAATTGAACAGTATGCTTCATTCCTCACCACCTCTGAGTAAGTGTTACGCTATTATATTTATCACCGAATTTTAATGTACTTGATCATTTGTGAACTGTTGCTAAATCTACTAATAGGGCCTTTTTTTAGATCGAATTTCAGAGAGCCAAATGAAATTAAAAATAACTGAAAACAGGAAAAAAATATATGTATATATTTGTGACATCTCATGATGACGCACAACAATGTGGAATGTGGATAAAAATCTAAAGTAAAAGCAAAAAGCATGAATCAAAGAGTGTCAAACAAAAGCACATAGTTTGATAAATAGTACTGAAAATCTGTGTATAGGATATCCATGAATAACTGACTGTCAGATACAACTATAAGAAATAATCATACAGTAAGTTAGCTCATTGTTGTTTTAAATCAACACAACTTTTCTAAGTAAGTAGGTACCTTAAAGGTACGTACTTTTTCAAGTATTTCTTCATGTATTAACTTACTCCTCTTTTCTTCCAGTGAAAAGTACCGCAAAATTCATGAGAAAGCTTTCAATTTGGAAATCAAAAGATATGGGAATGATTTCATACAACAGATTCTAACGGACAATGATCATCTAAGGAAGTCCAGAGAAAAGCTGCTGGAAATTTGCAGACCTCTTGCCCAGGTAGTTATCTGCCAATATCTTACTCTAAATCTTCTTAAGGCTCGTTGAACCTTGGCACATATTTGAAAAAATTGACTTTTTTTGTTTTTCTAGCCATGAATTTTTAAATAAATGTTTTAATGTTTTGCTAAGATGAAGAAAACAAATTAAGTAAGTCACCGTGAACTGAATGAGTCACTATGTTGTATGAATCATACTAGTACATAAAAGTGATTCAATAAATAAATTTTCTAAATTGACACATTGGCCTTATTGTAAATGTTTTCAAATTCTGATTGTTAACAGCAAAATATGGAGTATTCAAAACAACTACAAGACTTGAAGAGGCAGTGCGAAAACGCGAATCAAATGTGTACAGCATGGCAGCATGCGAAAGATCAGATGTATCTCCTTTACAAGGACACTCAAAAAGAGTTGGCAGAAAAGTCGCAGAAGTTGGATCTGGTTGAAAAAAGCTTATCTCAGTTGAAAAGATTGAAGGGACGCAGGAAAAGCGTGAAAACAAGTAAGCTCCTTATATATACGAGGTCTGTTAGATTAGAAACCGGATTTTGGTCATAACTAGCCCACAATGCGTCCGAATTAGGTTTTCTTGAGCTTTCCTGATAGCTGAAAATATACTTAAGAACGCTACGTTCACAGATTTTGTTTATTTTGATCAGTGTTTATTCTATGTCATCTTGAATACGATTAAGTCAGGTGCGTTTTGCGATTTTCATCATGCGATCACTGATAGAGCAAAGATTCAACATTAAATTTTGTTTTAAACTCGGTATACCTTGTACCGAAACTTTTGGTACATGCTAAGTAAAGTTTACCATGATCATTGTATGAGATGTTCCCACTGTTTTGAATGGGTTAAACGATTCAAAACTGGTCAGGAGTTCGTCAAAGATGAGGAGCATGAGAATCGACCCTCAACGACAACTGACATTTGTCACCTGGAAGAAGTGCAGGCAAAAGTGCTCGAAATTGGTTGTTTCGAGCTTGTTGAACAGAGTAATATTTTTGAAGGCTCTACACATACAATTTTGATAGAATATGTAGACACGCATCGAGTTTCAGGTACACTTGCCCCTTGATTGTTGTCCGTTGAACAAAAATCCAACCAAATGTCATTTTTCCCTTTAGCTGCTTGAACGTTTTAACAATGATCCTACATTTTTGGATAGGATAATTTTCGGTGACAATACTTTAGTGTACGGCTACGATATGGAGACGAAACTTCAATCGTCCTTGTGGGTTGAAAAATTTAGTGCAAGACCAAAAAAAGAGAGACAAGTTCGGTCCACCATAAAAATCGCAAAACACCCTTGAGGTTGCCTTACTTCAAGCCACAAACCAACGAACCTAATTAGGATTTTTCAAATTTGTGAACGTAGCGTTCTTACATATATTTTCAGCTATCAGAAAAGCTCAAGAAAACGTAATTTGGACGCATTGTGGGCTAATTATGACCAAAATCCGGTTTCTAATCTAACAGACCTCGTATGTGCTACTATCCATTGACTTACTAGTTTGCAGGGGTGTAGGAACCTGTCAACTACATGCATATGCTTGGGAAATGTAAAAATGAGAATGCTGGCTCAAATTAGTGTAAAAATATCTTGATATCCACAAAATTGTGGATGATTTGTCTATGATTAGTCATCTTTTTCAACTTAAAACAAACTTGAGAAGATGGGAGGTTTTTCAAAATAAGGAGACTAATTGAAATTCTGGAAAATTAATCCAACCTGTTAATGGATCAAAGAATTCCAAGATTTTCATCTTCCACCTAATCCCCTAGAAAGTCAGTGCCTTAGCATAGGTATAACACAGCAAAATCTTTAGTCGATAAACTGCATTTTTAATCATTCTTCTTTGATCAATAAGCCCTGACTCGTGCAAACAGAAAACTCCTTTTGTTTCTTTGGTGTGAGCTTGGTTCACGATAACTCAAAATTTCACAGACTTAATGATGAATTATTGCTCTTATCAGCCCATTTTTTCTGTTATTCTACTTATAATCTCCCATTGCTGTAGCCAGCTCGCTTTTTTGTGATATTCTGCTGATGATCTCCCTCTAATGTAGAGTATATAATGTTGACTTGATTCCATGATAAATGTGTTTATCTTTCCAGAATCAACGAAAACAAATGAAGGCTCCTCCGATGATCTTCCAAATAAGGACTCAAATCCTCAGCCAGAATCTAAGTCAGATCTATCAGAACATGAGCCTAGGACATTACGCAATAACTCTAAACGGTAAGAAATGTCCCCTTCCCCCCCCCAAAAAAAAAAAAAAAAAATCTTCAACTTTCAGTATGTTAGTCAGGAGTTCAAATGACACAATAAAATTAAAAATTTAGCTGTCATGTTTTACCCTTTCAAGGTTTGTTCATCTTTCAAATGCTATCCGTTATAAGATACAAACACTAAAATTACAGGTTTCCTTTGAAAGGTGGGTTTTCTTTTGTTTAAGTTCAATGAGATTATTAATATTCAAATACACACAGCTATCAAACCAGTGATCACATGAAACAAAAAGGAAATGTTTAGAAAAATGTATTTCTTACAGCTCATCAGTAGCCTTTCAAGACACAGAGCCATATTAATTAAGCTTTTCTTGAAGTCTTCTTTCAGTCAGAAAGGGGAAGAAAAATTGTAAAAAAAACCCTGTTTGGATAGAATTCAATTACCAATAATTGACGGTCTATTGACATGTAATGAGTTTTGAAAAGTGATCTCGGTTTTTAATATACTTTCTCTTCCTGTCTTCAAAATTTTGCTACTGTCTCCACAAATACCAATCAGAACTGAGGGGAAAAATATCGGACGAAAGAAAGTCTCGTTGGAAAAGAACACTATGGGCCAACTTTTGATTGATGCATCTTAGGCTGATGCAACACATGTCCAGTCCTTTCTTTCCTCAGTTTTGGATAGAAACCCCTGATCAGATTTTGAAATTAAGAAAACTTGTTGTTCTCTAATATGCACTTGTTCTCAGTTTTGATATTAATTTGCAAACTGGGATGGGGCCATGTTTGATCAGTGTTGCCAATGAAAAAAGTCTCCAACCGAAACTTGTGCAACATGATTCTAAAAAATGACTCTCATGGAATCACTGAAACAACGCCTATCAATTTTAATTCTCCAACTGTGTGGTCTCTTTATTTCAGGATTGGGTATGCTGAATCGAGTGACAATGATGCCACTTCGGATGAAGAGCTGGATTTGTGTGAAGTCATAAGTGCCTGGAATATTAAAAAACCGGATGAGGCCATGCCTATGGTTCCAATCTCCAGTCCTAGTAAGAAACCCTCCAGCTGTGAAAAGAAATCAGTAACCTCCAACTCCTCTGCATTAGGTGTAAGTTACCCTGCTGCTTCAATTATTTAAATGTAACTTCATGTAATACCTTTTTTGTTACGTTAAGTTTTATGAGTTCGGAAAGTCACCCTCTAAATCTGTTTCCATAGAGCTGCATAGTCACTTTAAAATCCAGGAGTAGGCATAGGCATAGGAGCAGGGCATCTCCTTTGTCATGCTGCTGCAAGTAAATGATTGATGACATGTCAAGCATAGTAATGTGTAACAAATTATCCCATGGAATTCCAAGTGTAATATTCAAAACAAAAATAATTGCGAAATCTATAAGTATCCTGTTCTACCTTTTTCTTCTCAACTAGTGATGCAGATAATGCTTGAGCGTCATAGCCAGCTTGAGCCTGGCGTGTGGAATTTCTTTGATGAAGGCAGCTAGTTTTTTAGTTTTAAATTTTTTCAGTGAAAAATAAAAAAATTAGGAAACTGGCTGAAATATCTAATTCTTGGTTAAACACATGCTGTGGATCTTTTTTCAGATTGAGGATATTTTTACGCTGAGATTACAACTAATTTTTGTATGGAAGACCTTTCTTTGCCCTTGCTCTCAGTGCTTGATCCAAAACTTTTGTGCACTTTCTCTCAAAAGCTAATCTGAGTATCTAAACATACTTTTAAAGCAAGTTTGGAGATTTGGACAAGGTTTTTAAAGCAAATTTGGAGGTCTTGGACATTTCAAAACGGCAATCAACCATAGGGGGTGGATAAGCATGAACAAATTTCAAGTCTACAGTTTTGTACTTAACTTATTGACAGCTCTGGACGGAGTTTTTCAAATGGAAGGGCTCCATCAAGAGAAATCTACCCCATATTCTGCCAACTAAAATGAAAGAACCAAACAAATGCTTGTGGAAGGACGGACTTTTTTAAATGTATAAATTCTCATGTTCCTTTAAGGTTTAATATTATTTAAATTCAAGTTAAGTCTATTCTTAAGTCAAGAAAGAAATGAAATTTCAGTCTGTGTGCTTCTTCAATGTGAACTTTTTATCATTTTTTCCAGCCACCAACACTTGGAAAAAATCAAGCGATCAAAAAAATGAAAAAAACCAGAAGGAAAAAGATCTCATCTGTTAAAGAGGAGGAGTCACTGCCAGAGCCAAATCTACCATTAGATTGTAATGAAAAATCCAACTCCTGTGATGGTTAGTTTTGCAGAACTTATAATGTATATGTTCTATTCTAAGAGAAGTACAGAAATTGAAAGATCCTGGGTCCTGTATAAAGTTGAAAGCTTTAAAAGCATTTCTCAAATAGTTTTTCTTTTCTATTTGCCTTATAGTGTGGAAAAACTTGGGCATTTTTGCTTCAAGATGCCAAGAAAACTTAAATAGGGCTGTTCATACAGTATGTAACGCTGAAGAGAGAGGAGAGTGGTGCGCCATTTTTTTTCTACATTTTCAACGATACTGAATCTCCAAAGTATTATGAAGGGGGGTTCAAATAATCCAAAATTCAGCATTACATTTATATTTTATGAATGGTCCCTTAAAATATAATTTTTGCATGTTTGTATTCTCACTATTAGAATTTCTCCAGGAGGGCCCTGCATCAATTTAACCATTAGATGATGAATGGGATTTTTCTGATCTGTTCTAAAAATCTTGAGTTAAATGCCAGAGTAAAGTTTTTCAGCCAAGCTTCTTTTTTAAGAAAAGCTATTGCATAGTAAGATATTACAGGCTTCTTTCTTTCTTTTTTATGACATGAATTGAAGGTACAAGGTGATCTAGGCCCACAATTACATCCCTAATTTTTCAATTTTGTTTTCTCTATGTTGGCAACTGATTGGAAACGTTTGTTAAAAAGTGCCCAAAATTAAGATGGCCATCAAAGGGATTTAAAGTGTGAAACATCTATGTCGCAGTCAATATGACAGAGGAATCTATAATGAAAGAACACAGGGCGACGACGCAGGGTTGTTGGTCAGTGAAAAATTTCAAGTTGGGTAGTGCAGTTTCAAACTAGATTGTATCTGCCCATGGCAACAGTTTTGCCCTCAATCCTTGTCAGAAAACGCCAGTACAGTTCCGTTGCTGTTTTCGCTTTTAACCTGGTCTTCAAATTAGGACTTTTGTCTTTAAAATTTTCAACATTATCGATAAGAATTGACAATGAAATTTAAATTATTAAAGTTTATGACTTCTCATTAGTTACTCAGGGCAAATTCCTAGATGCATTTTTATCAGATATTCCTCTCAAAATCTGTGTTTTATTATACTAACACAAACACATATTTGTTAACAGGCTCTCTATGTGCAGAAGATGTGAATTTTGAGGCGGATATGGATTTAAATTGTGATTTTAGTATTGCAAGTCCAGAACTGTCACCAACAAAAACTGATTCACCCAAAAGCAAATTCACTACACCTTTCATCACATCCGCAATTTCACCTGAGGTATTAAAATAAATGAATAATTTTCTCTCGAATCCTCAAAACTATAAAATTGTACTAAGTGCTGGCTGTTCTGTGAGTTTAAGGTTTTCAAGTTTTATTTTAATGTAAATCAAGTCAGGAGAGTCTAATGTTCTTTAACGTAGCATCTGGAGACTAAAGTGTCTGGTATAAAAAAAATATTATTCATCCACATTCAATAGACAAACAGCTGGAAAAAATGAAGAAGATAGAAGAGAGTAAAAAGATGAAAAGAGTTTTTCTACTCAATGTCTTCTACCCCTACCAATTAACTCAAATGAACGTATTTCTGCTGAAGGTAACTATGTGCATCATGACTTGAGCCCAATTATGCATATAGTCTTATGGATCTCAGGGCTCATGTCTTAATGCTCATAGTTCCGTTTGACAGAAGTACGTTCAGATGTCTAATTTTCTTATCATATAGGGAAACCCTCTTACCTGTTTACTTCGGCTAGGAATTTTTAGGGGAACAGAATTCCCTCAGTTTTGAAAATTCATCCCCATCTATGATTCACATAACCTGTTCCGTTTTGTGTTTGAATACTTATAATCCATTTCTTTTTTGCAGCCAAGCCCTGAAATTAAGTTACCATTTAAACTACCTAATCCAAGCCCTTCTAAACAAATGAAGGAAAAAACGTTATCAACAAGGAAAGTATCCTCACCACCCCCAGTTCAACGAAATCTACGACCCAGAAAGTCTGGAGTCACAACCAAGAACAGCACTTCTCCAGAAAAAGTGGAAAACAAAGTCATTGGCACAAAGTTATCATCAGAAGTTGCCAAAAGTAAGTTAGGTATATAACTATTTTAAATCAATAGCCCCCTCTAGTTACCAGTGAAAAAAGGTACACAGATTACTTAGCCTGAAAATAAGATTGCAGAAGAGAACCTTTGAACAAATTTGTGAAATAAGACTAAAAATTTAGAACAGTATTAAACAAGACTGATCAAACCTCGCAGTCAATCCTACAATGGTTACATATTTCATTTTTTCCAATCTGTTCACAGTATCTGTGAAAGAAACATGTTGTCCTTTTTTTCGACTTTGTTTGTTTTGCTCATGGAACGGTTAGTTACAAAATTATTTAATGAATGAATGACAGTAAAAGATTACACAGACTTTTAATCTAGAGAATCATAAAATGATTAACTAATAGATCCGTCTTGATAGTATGATAATTGCTTACTTTATATTAGCAGTGGCTGTATTGTCTCAAGAACTAAAACGAATTTTCCATTTCCTCTTTGAAGAAACACCCCTGTACTCTTTGAGTGCAAAACCTTAAACCTACTTGTCCTCCTCCTCTTCAAATTCAAATTCTGAATTTCACCAGCCAGCTGATATTTTTATTTTTCCTCTCAATATTTTCAGAAACTTCCAAATCGAAAGTTTACCCTGAGTATGAAACGATTTTCGATGACCTGTATGTCTCAGATTCAGATTCATCAGTCATACATAATTCTGTGGCTTTGTGTCAGGAACCTTCAGACTCACCCACAATGTAAGTTAAAATTTCATCATATCTCTTGTTTGTTGTCTTTATTTTGATCTCCAGTCTTCTTACATAAACTGTGCTGAAAACTGTACATTTTTTGATGTAGGTAACTTTAAATTGAAGGTAGTGAGTGACCCAAGGTAGGAATAGTTTGAATTTAATTATTAACATTTTAAGAGCAACTCATCAGGTATCTTTCAATTAAGGTCATGTTTCTTTCTTTCTCTTCTCAGTGCTTTCAAAATTGCAACATTTTTTTCTTCAGACCGAACTATGACATATAGGATGGACACTTCCCTGGAACTGATCAAATGGAATCCACCTTTGTCTGTACATAGCATTTTTCTCCACAAAGTTATGAAAAACCCAATCTTTGTTTACCCTTTTCCCTATTATTTACTCTCATTTCCCTTTTTATGGTGTAGAAAAAATTTGGGGCAAAAATAGAATACTAATTACTGATAAACAACTTAGTTTCTGCCCACCTCACTGATCTTGGGTGTATTTAAAGTGTGTCAGAAATATTGAGTAAACTGCTCTGTTGAACTAAAATTTGGTTGCCTGTCTCTGTACATGTCTCTTGGAAAATTATCTTTTGGCTCATCTGTTTTAATATTACCTGCCTCTAATCTACTGTATCACACATATACTTGTTACATTGTTCCATTTGCTAGTTCATCCTTATTCAAGTAAAGCTAGTCCTTGCAGATTTTTTTTTTCTTTTCTTTTTTTTTTGTGATTAGTGTTTTAGCATACATCTTTGTTATTATTAAAGTGAACTCATACAATCTTATCATTTCTCTAGGTCTACCAAGGAATCTAATGTAGTTGCTGTAGACAAATCAAGAGATGTTGAGAGAAGTTCTGTGTGTCTATTGCTTACAAGTAAGTTTTAAAATTACCACAATACAGTGAAACCTCGGTAAGTCGGTTTCCGGACAAGCCGGTAACCCGCTTTAGTCGGTAGAATTGCCAGGTCCCGTTTATCACCCATATAACACAATGCTAAATAAGTCTCGGTATCTCGGTTTGGTCAGATTCTGAACCCGCTTAACTCGGTGAAATTTTTCCATCTGGACCTGTTTTTCTTCGATCGTCACCCGTGATCAAGCGTAGGTAGTGTTTCCGTGCGCGGTGCGGGTCGGGTCAAGTTACGCCACGAAGGGTGAGCGAATCTCCGAGAAAGCGCAGCGCAGTGCGAGAAACGACATCGGAAATAGAGAGATAAGGAATCAAAAACACTCGATAACGACACGAAAGATGAGAACAGTAGAGAATAGGATATCTGATACCGCGTGTTATCTTATCGCGCGTGTGAAAACACGCATGCATAATTAAGCAATTTCACGCATCGATGAGTTGACAGGTCCAGTCGGCACCGGCCCCTCTCCCCCCACCATCTTGCATTGCCCTTCCCCGCTCCCCCCAGGAATCTTCCGCAGAGTTTTTCGGGGATTTTAGCGAGTATTGATACGTTGCATTTTCAGTTCAACGACCCGCCATAGCGGGTGCCCGCGGCGCATCACCGCGCGGCATGCCGCGTGGGGTGCGGGGGGGGTGATACGCAATGGGGTGCCGCGGCACCCCAACATACGATTAACCCGATGACTTCATGATGCCCTGACACTTTCAACACGCAATTTCAAGTGCATTTCATGAAATTTTACCATTTAGTACCATTTTCTTCGATCAAATGGCTCTCCAAAACACTCCTATGAGTCACTCTACACGCACGTTTGCGTTTGTCCAATTTAGGGCGCGAAATTTGAAAAAGCGCGGCAGGAAAAGTGGCAGTCCGCTTAAGTCGGTAACCCGCTTAACTCGGTAAATTTCCTCGGTCCTGATGGAAACCGAGTTACCGAGGTTTCACTGTAACTATTCAGCCTAACTCTATGATAAAATCTCCCCTTTTGTATGTTTTTGAAATCCTTTTTCTCCCTCTCGTGAAGAATAATTTAAACAAAGCCCAAGTTTGCCGGTCACTTAACCTTGTGTTTTTTATTTAATATTCTGAAAGCACCAGGTGAGTAGATAACATGTTGATGTATTGCATATTTTTGGAGCCAAAATCTCAGATAAGCTTGCTTTTAAAAAGTCCAGCGACTCAAAGGAATTTCAAACGCGCCAGAATGGCAAAAAATGATATGATGCGATGTACTACGGCAGTCAAATGGCGGCTATCTCCTCTCATTTTCCACTGATTCTTTTTACATAAAACATATTTCAATGTGAAATTGTGCTTGTTTACTATACAGATTTCATTCATGAGATCCGATTCTTTGATTCCGAAGATAAAGTTTCGACTTTACAATTGTTTTCATGCACAAGAAAAAGAAAGACGTTTGACGGAAGTCATAGAAACCCGTCCTCGGTTCTGATTGGTGCCAGATGACATCACTCTGTTCGGCACGAAATGGAGGCATTATAAATTGGCGGGAAAGTTACGCTTATTGAACTGCATATCTCTTGGTTTTGGAGTTTCTTTTTCACGTTTTTAACGCGCGCATTGTGCTCTATGCATCATTTACCTTTGGAAAAATGTACTTGCAAGTCAAAAGGCGTTCATAGTTTAGTGACCCATTGTTTGGTAGACCCATGCGCCAATTTTCTTTAACAGCATGTCATTTCCCTTCTTTCGTTTTTCTTGTAATGTCACTGTATATTAAGTTTTATTCTTCTTTTTCAGGCACCAGTAGAATGTCAGACTGCTGTGATTCATCTGACATCATAAATTCAAGTGATTCAGAAAATGATGATGACATTTGCCCTGAAAATGATGTCTCAACTGCGCCCAAGAGTTTTGAGTCTCCAAATTCATCGTCCCTTGATGTAAATTTGGTGAGAACCCTTGAGACGAGGGTAAAATCAAGTGAAGAAATATGTCCTACCACTCATTCTAGTACCTTAAGTGACTCCTCTGACTTAATGGATTCTTCTGAGAAGTTATTGTCAAATGCCACCAATAGTTCAACTTCTAGCAATGAAGTCCTGAAGCATCCTGTATTACCCACAGAAGTCACTCCAGCTCCAACACACCCATTCGGCAAAAGTAGAACACTCAGTGAATCCAGTTGTGAAACGGACCAGATTCAATCTGAGAAGATGATGCTGAATCCTGTCAATAGTTCAGACCCTAGTACCCTGCCGCATCCTTCATCCTGTACAGAAGTCAGCTTTGCTCTGATGCACCCACCCAGCAGTAGCCGAACTCTCAGTGAATCCAGTTGCGAAACAGATGATTCAAATAACAAGTGAGTCACTAGCACCGGTTTTCCTTTTATTCAATTTTCGAATGTTATCAGGTCACATAAGGTGTCTAACGGTACTATTTTTTTGAGAGTGGCCTGGAAGCACTGGAAAAGTATGGAGATTCTGTAGAAAGACCTGGAAATGTTTGCTTCATGCCATGCGTGTTCTTATGACAGCCTGGAAAGTGTGTAATTCCTCGTGTATTGATTCATAGTGCAGCATCCTTTAGATTGCGATTGTACTGCCAGTTAATCCTCAGGCCACCAATGAGCTTTAGCCTTTGTGACTACTTATACCATTTTTGTCACGTTAGCACTTAAAAGTACTGGTTTTTTTTTTTTTTTTTTTATAAAAGTACTGCAAAAGAGCCAAGAAAGACCTGATTTTTTGCTAGCCAGTTCTTATAGACACCTTGTCACAATGAACACTTGAGAGTTTCTGTGTGTTGGGTTTTGTCTCCCGGCTGTTCAGTCTATATATCTATTTAAATGTTATTATCTGATATAAGGGCTTGTTATTTTATTCAAACCACAGTGAAATTGCAATGACCTGTATTACAATGGCTAAGGAACAATTCCGCCTAGCAGCGAACTGATCATTTTTCAGGTTGATCAGAAACTTCACTATTTTTGTAATTTTAAAATTAGTTTTGCCATTTTTTTATACATTACAGTGTCACAACTGCGCTTCTATGCAAAATCGGGAAAAAACTTTGACTTGCGTATTTTAGACTTAAGAATACGGCAAAGTCGCCAACACATTTTTGCTTCAATTGTCATTTAGGCGGTATTGTTCATCAGCCCTCGAATACGTTTTTATCCTGGTTTATTGCTGCAGTCCAGCCCGCATTCCAGTGGAACGCTAGCATCACTCTTCTGAGTTGGGTTCCTAGCAGTCCTCACCTCAAGCAGAACCGCTTGGGATGCACAGATAGCCCAATCCATTGCGTTCCATGCATTCCATGGATAAAAATAAAAGTCCTGTAACATCAAAACATGTCGGAATGTAAGAGTCAATGTTGGAAACAGAATTTGATTCACAACAGTGGCTCACGATCTGTGGTGCCTGAAGATCGGCCCTCGAAGCCTAGTGAATCAGTCACAGCCTCTCTCCAAGAAGCACTCACTCCGTAACATGTTATATTGTAATAATAATGACCAAATATTAAACAGGACTATTTCAGCCTTTATCACTTCTGCTCTTTTGTCAACATTTTGAGTGTAAAAAACCTTGAGAAACTGAGCAAAATCATTACCTGATGTTACTAATACTGTCTGTTTAAATACAATTACGGAAGAAATCACTTCCATGTTATTTTAACCTGTCAATGCATCCGAGACAGTTGCTGTTTTTGTTGAGTAATAATATCAATTTTTGTTCCAGATTGAAAACCAAAATTGCTGTTCATAGAAAAGTAAGAAAATGCCGGAAGGTAACAACCAAAAAAGATACGCAAGAAAAAGATGAGCCAGTAAGTCCCTCAACAGACAAATCTGAAAAATTGCCACCATTAGAAGTTCCTGTCAATCTGTCAACAAGTAAGGATCTTTCAGCCTGTTCTACATAGTTTTCTCATTTTTTTTCTTTTCATGAACTCACTCTTTATCAACTTGACTTCAGAAAGAGAATGCAAAGTCCTTCTAACAGTACAGCACTTTATAAGTAAAAATTGAAAAAAAATGCTGGACTGAGCTTTAGTCGTTTTCACTAATAAAGGATATTTTCACCCTTAAGTCTCATCCTCTACAGTTGTCCAATTTTATCCCCTAAAAGTTAACAATTTTGACCCATTTTCAAAAATTCCGCTTTCAATTAGAAATAAATGCAGATAATTCAATTCTGAAATAAAGAAATTAAAGACACTAATTTCTTTAAATGTTCATGAGCAAATATATTTTATGGGCTAATGTCTTGATTGATTTAAGAGAAATTCTAATGCAGTAAGATTTAAAAAAATGAAATTAACCCCCCCCCCCCCCCACCCTTTAATTAAGCACAAGTTGCTTATATATATTTGGATCAATGAACAACCTTGGTGGAAATAGTGTAGATTATTTTTGCACGCCTGTCAAGACTGTCTTAGTATTTTTTCAATATCTTTTAAAACCTTTTTTTCAGAATCGTTGATGCATCGGCCATTGGTCTAAAACTTTTTTTAATTGTAGCACAAAGTATATATAGCTCAACATGTCCGGTTTTTTCTATCAATACTTCCAAGTTTTAGTACCTAAGTTATTACAATTTTTTTTGCTCAAATGTCTCTTGTAACCGTTCCAAATTAACTGTTCTTCAACGGTATTATTTATTCATTATATATTTATTTCTTTTTGTTTTGTTTCCAGCTCCAGAAAGTGTTAGTGAGTTGATAGAATCAAAATCAATGTTTGATCCTCCAGAAGTATCAAGCATCAGTGATTCGGACTCCGCTGAAAATAACCGAGCCGTAACCGAAGGCGTCTCTACCCCAGAAAGGTGATTCTTAAATTAGTCTTTTGTAATCATCATTAGTCCTCCAATACTTCTTTACACTTCTGTTTACTGTTCAAAATAATCTCTCTTGAAAATAACATGCAGAAATTTTGAAAAATTTAACACGTATCTGAAAATAATAGAATTTAACCAGTGTCGAAGTTAGACCTGGACGTCGTGTGATATCATCATCCAGGTTTTAATTAACTGTATCTTTGGTTTAACCCTAAATATCCTTTCAGATTGCAAATTTCTGCTCAGCAACTTAAACTGATTTTTCATTGTTGCCTCCCTCTGTCAAAAATAAAGCTGTTCTAGGAAAGCTTCATAATATTTAAATGAGCATTCATTAAATTGAACAAATGATATGTTTGGCAACACAAATACTTTTAGTAATTATTTTGAATAATCTGTATGAAGTATTAATTTATTTTCAAATCGTTTTTTACAGTGATGAAAATCAAACTGGAAATGATCATGAAGTTGAGAAAAACATAGAAGAAATTTTACACTTTGGTCATGAGTCCATGTTGAAGGTATGGAAAGTTAACAGTGTTTCCTCATAACTGAGTCTCACATACCTGAGCTGTAAATAAACTATTAAATTTTCTGCTATGAACTTGAAATTAATCCAATCATTGGTAGAATAATCTTCAGGACTTTTATTATATGTAGTTCTTTTTTTAGAATACGGAAAATTTTTACTGGAAGCCAATTTATCCTGAACTCTGCAGCATCTAGGTCTCAAACTTTTTCAAAGTATTGGTTAAAATTCGGAAGTATTGGTTGAAATTGCAACCACCTTTGCCCACAAGAGTCATCTGCGAAAGTAAAGTATTTTTTGCTCAAAAAACTTTTCAGTTTCAATTAATTTGCCATTACAAGGCATCAGATGTGAATTCATGCTTTGGAATGTTTTTTAAAATTCACACATGTTAGGACCTTTCCGATCAAACAGCATATACCCATGTCAACGTTGCTGAGATTGTACAACTGCTTAGTTGGCAGAGAGCTGTAAATTTTGCCTCAAATTTTCTTTCTATTCTGATTATATTGACAGAGAAATGCACAAAGTGGGTATTTTTGGATTCTCTTAAAAAAAGGAACAGTTGTACAATCTTAGCAACGTTGACTTGGGTATACGCTGTTTGGTCGGGAAGGTCCTTATATGCAGCAATCACCATTGAACGTAATTTCATCTTTTGTGGATGATGTTTTTTGGTCATGAAAGTAAGTCCATGTGAAAAATCATTGATGTACTCCATTCATAATGAGTGGGACGATGAGGGTAGTGAACGACTTTTTCCATCTTCAAAGTTGAAATGCAGGATTCAATTTGCTATTGTTCCAGATAGTAAACATGGACTGGCTCTTTTGCCCTTTGCACACGTTGCAAGTGTTTTGCTGAAAGTGGGGGTCATCGGTGCATGACTCATCGATGATCGTGAAATGTGTTGCAAAAATCCTCATCGATGATCCCCACTTTCAACTTCAAACTTACAACGTATGCAAAGGGCATAAAAGTTTTCAATGGCCTAATTGTTATAAATTTTTTTTGTGAATAATTTTTATTTCTGTATTTTGTATATCTTATTGCAGGAAGGAAATGTCATAACACCTGAATCCAGTTGTGAAAATAGTGAAACACCAATCCAAAGCACTGATGAAACTAAGTCAACGGAATCTGAACAAGTGAATCTTGAAAAACAGCACTGTAAAGACAGCGTAGTGGAGGCTCACCCTCCACCAGTAGCTGTTGAGAATTTTACATCTGAACTTCAATTGGAGAAATCAGAAAAAGAAGAAATTACAGAGACTTGCGAAAGCTCAAATGGAAATGCCATCATAAACGAAGCATCCGATGAACCTTTGGAACAAGCTAAGTCACCAGAGCCTGTCTTTGATGGGGTTATTGATGCTACTAACTCTTGTAAGAATGGTTAGATATTTGACAAGATTAGTTTTAACCTCCAACATCCTCTAATTTTGCTAAAGAAATAATATTGCCTAACTGCCTAAGTTGCACTGTTGATGTAATTATACTTTGAGAGGAGCTCTTTTGTTATAACTCTGTGCTTCTTGTGCATGTGAAATGGGGCTGACTGAATTTTAACATCAATTTGACAGGTTTTAGAGGTAACGCATCTTTTATGCGCTTCACTTTGCTCTTCGCCATCACTCTATGATGAGGTGGCACTCCGGAGCCTTATTCACAGTCATTGCCTCAAGAGTTTCTTCAGCCAATGTATTTCTTATGCTTTGAGGAGGCTCAACATTGAAAGAGATGTGTTGTGTTTTTTTTTGTATGTCAGTAGCAGCAACCGTGAGTTACAGAGGTACAGTTATGACATTTTGGATGGGAAATTCAAAATTGCAACACAGATTAATGATAAGTCTGGTTAACTCGAAAACTCTTCCAAGACAGAATGAATCCTCGATCCCAATTAATTCTAATTTACCGAAGTTCGACTTTATTTCAAACTCCATCACTTTCGTGAAATATTTTGACGTTTACACAATACATTGGCGATTCACTAACTCTATATCATGTTTCCCTTTTGTTCAGACTTCCCCCGACCATTCTTGGGAGACATCCATTTTGGAGCGCAAGGTATGAGTGCGGCACCTACGCCACCAGATGACACTGAATTGAGTTTTATCGGCTCTCCTGATATTGTTACTCCACCTGTGTCCCCCTTACGCAACTATACTGTACAAATGTCACCACCTCTGTCACCCATAACTGGAGACAGTCCTCTCGTTGCTGCCTCTACTCCATCGCAGACAAAAAAGTGAGTTGGGTTGTTGCTAAACATTATGCATTTTTAAATCATCAAAGTCAGACAACGACATTATTTAAAATGGTATTAAAACTGAACCAAGGGTTTTATGATAATATTTAAAACTTTATTATATTCTAAAGCTTTTCAGTCTGGTAGCCATCTTTGAAGCCACCACAACAGACTTGTATTCAGAGTAAAATCAATCTTTAGAACAATCGAAACAATGCAGTCAACAAATAATTAGTTACAATTTTACATTTTCTCACCCACATCAATAATCATTTTCATTTAAATAAAATAAAATAGCAAGATCTCACACGAGAACTTGGTTAAAATATTAAGAAACACGTTTCCATTTACGTGCACGTCAGATTTTATGAAAAGCAGTTGCATTTTGTCAGTACTCAGTGATGATGTCTGTCCTGTACGAGCAAAATGTGTCCGCTTTTATGGAATTTGGCTTGCTCAGTAGTGAAAGCATATCTTTAATTTTTAAATTATAATCAGTTAGTTTCAACTTTACAATTTCTAAAGACACTTACTCTTAGGAAGAAAATAATGCTGGTCTTTTTGTTTTCCAGCCTAGTTACTTGTTGGTTTTCACTTAATTTTTTTTTCATTCTTGCTAAATTACATTCGTTAGAATAGGTATTTTTACTAATTGTTGCAATGCGTCTGAAATAAAAATCTAGATAGAAGATAATCTAAAATTCATTCATGCTAGCACAGTCAAAGTACGTATCATCTCGTTAAAATTGTGACCTGAAAGTAAATTAACATACACGGATGAAAAGATACATGACCCCCAGTTCTTCTTGTAATGTCACAAAATCTGTTGGTGCCTTATTTTTCCGTTTAATACAGAACTGAATTTTTGGATACGGGGTTAGTCCTCTCTTCAGATTTAATTCAATTGCATGAAAAATGCAGGTATTTTTATTTTTACATACTTTCCGAAAATGAAAAGAAAAAAGTACACGATAGCAAGTATATTGATTTTAAATATACCTTTTCCCTGTGTGATTGTTCCAGAAATTCCACACAAAAACCTTTCAATGTGAAACGGATACATATGTTTTCTCCACGTCCAGATGATATGAGTGACTGTGAAGATATGCTCATCATGGATTTAGATATCAATAATGAAGATTTAGTTGAGGCAAGTTCTGTACAAGTGGATGCTGGCACAGAAATTCGGGAAGCAGATGAACTCATGGATGATATGAATTCAGGTAAACTTTGCTGTTTATTAATGGTTATCAGAAGACAGAAAAAGGTCTGTAGCTACGAAACTATCTAATCCAATACGCTGACTCAAAGCAATGTTTAAAGCTTGACGTCTCCTCAGACAAGTCTAAAATGCATTTTCTCAAACATCTTAGTCTTACACTGAAGTAAACTTTAAGTTATTTGGTGGGAACTACCAAAACATTTTCTAATTCAGAAGGTCAGTTTTTTTGTGGCAAAAATGCAAAATTTAAAGTCGGATTCTTTTTTTTTTAAAAAAAAAAAAAAAATCCATTTAATTTTTAAAAATAAGAGCAGAAATTAGAGAAATTTGATCAATTGTCATCTCTTTCAGCTGATTTTTTCTTTCTTTTTTCTTTGCCCTTGTTTTGATTCTACTATAATTATTTTTCACATGGTAGAAACTAAAACTTTCAGGAAAGAAAATATGAAATGGGAGGGGGAGGGGGTGTGAGGGCCATGTAACGTTTTTGCAAGTCCTGTTAGTTAGTTAATTCTTTGAAGCAAAAATTAGTTGCTATCTCAATTTCATAAATTCCCTCACTTCACAAAAAAAATTAAAATTTAAGTCAAGCGAAGCATGCTTCTCTGTTTTTCTCTCTCATTTTTTTTCCAAAAAAACAGAAAAATATGAATTTGTATTCACTTTTGTATCTTCTCATCAAAAAATTTCCTCATGAGTTTTCTTGCCCCAACCAAGCCAAAATCTGTGCACATTAGCATTCTCTGTATCTTCGTTCAGTTAAAAAAAAGTTTTGTGAAGAAGATTTTGACAATGAGCTTAAAGCAGAAGTCTGTCATCCCAACCTGCATGCTAGCCTTTGCAACGATCAAGTTTCAAGACAAATGGCAAAATTACTTGACTTTTTTTCACGAATAACATGAGGACCTAAAATACTGAAGAGATATAAAATTATATCATGTATCAATTGGCTACATTCATACTTGTGTATTTTATTTACCACCCAATACTGACTTCTGAATGGATGTATTCGAACATTCTGAGCCACTTATTTTCTATATTTGACGATTAGCTTTGTTTCAACCTAGTTTCTTGTTTTGTTTCAGATGAAGATGATATCTTGAACCTTGTCCATGAGGAATTCATCTGTCGTAAATTACTATCACCCCTACCTTTAAAAGAGCCACCATACGAAACTAGTCCTGTTAGGCCGACCAAGAAAACGTCTGAAGCCGATGATACTCTGGAAGTAAATTTGGTTAACAAAAGCAAAAAATGTGAAGCAACTGATGTTCATTTAGATAATAGAAGCAATAAACCTGTGGAGAAAAAACCAAAAACTTCCCGAACAACTGTTAAACAGCGGCTAGCTTCTAGGTTGAGAAATCTGCATCGTATCTCTAATAGTAACCTGTTACTGAAACGCTCATCACAAAGCTTTCAATCAACTCCAGGAAATAAACCAAATAATCTAGTCCAAAAACACCTATCTGAAGAACCGATGCACAAAAGGAGGAAAACCAGATCATCTCCTCGTAAAACTGAAACTAATGAGCTTGCCAATGATGCCAAATGTGAAGATGTTTCAGACAATAATGACATTCAAAAATGTGTACCATTGGAAAAAGTATCAAAAGAACATAAAATTGAGAAAAATGGCAGGAGTGAAGCTGATCTGAGTAGTAATGCTAGCAGTAAGTTAATTAATTGTATAATGAATAACTCCTCGAAGTTTAAAACTCAAAAGGAGGTAATAGCAGCCAGTACAACAAATGTAAAACCAGTAGTCCCTACAATTTCTATTATGGAGTGCTCTAATATAGAATATTTCAGTGAAGTCTCTAATTCTGAAATAACGGATCAAAATAATGAAAGAATGAAGGAAATCAAACCTTCTCTCCGCAACATCCAAATTGTAGAGCCTGCTTCCATGGATAATCATCAACAGGAAAAAGGAAGTGATGTTCAGCAAAGTATCTCTCAAGAGCAAATATCAAAACACAGCTCAGTCTGTGCAACTAGCAGTAATCAAGTTGATCAAATAAGTAATGCTATCATAAAGTCAAAAAGTAGCATAGAAATTGATCATCCCGAGTCAAAATCTTCATGTAAAACTAAGAACATCAGCACATTGAATGACAAGGATGCATGTAGTTTGATTTCAGACACCAAATTCATGAACTTGGAACATGCAAGTCCAAAAACTGATTTTGAAACTTCAAATTCAAATGAAGGGAAAGTCGGAAGAAGTAGATCTTCCCTGCGAATAGCCAAAAGTATTGGGTCTACGTCCGTTGAAAATTGTCAAGGTAGAGAACAAAATCACGAGTTTGAACAACTTACCTCAACAGGAGAAGTTTCAAAAGGAAGTTCTGTTGGTTTGAATTATTCGAATCAAGTGGATCAGAGTAATCCATCTCATGTTAAGACTGATAATAGTATAAGCAATAATTACTGTAATAAGTTGGACTCTCTCAATGAAATCACCCAAGCAACCTCAACGAATTTTGAAATTCCACCAGTATCCATTTCAGAAAACAATCGGTTGAACTCAGAATATTCTAAAAAAGTGACTGATTTTGTAACTACAGACAAAATTCCTGAAAGACCCAAAGTTTCGGCATCTTCTGTGCTTGAAAATCTAAAAAAGCGAATAATATCAGATTCAGAAGCTTCATCGGAGTCTTATAAATCCGAACGTAATTGTTTGTGGACAATGTTTAAATTCTACAAAGAGGATCATTGCCAAAAAGCTGTGGAGGTTGAAGATATCAAGAAAGTAGAGAAACCTCTACCTTATCCAAATAGATGTAAGTTTATCACCACAATTTTTCATACATATGTATAAGGTTTTTTTTTTTTTTTTTTTTTTCATTTCTGCTCCCTGTCTTTACTTACTGTTGTGAACTGGAAAAGATGATGCAAATTTTTTCTTTACATTCAAAGCCTAGCTCTGAAAAATGTCTATGCAAAATCTTCTGGGGTTCAATTTGTTTGTGTTCTCAAATGAAATGCTCACGACCAAATCTGGAGTGTTTTTCCTAAAGCTATGTTCGGGATTATCAACTTTAAGAATAATTCAAATATGAATTGTTATCCTTGAAATTAATCAAAACCTAAAGTCAGTATCCACAGAGAATAATGCTGTTAAAAGATTAAGCTAACCTAAAGTTAGTTGGTTGACATAAATTATGATCCAAAAATCTGCCACGTTCATTTTTGCATTGAAATTAAATGCTAGAATTAAAGTGGCTTGCAGTAAATATCTACAGCTCTCATCATGTATTTTCTGTCTTGAAGTTCATATTGTTCAATAGATATTTTTCATTTCAGACGCAATGCAAGAAAAAGTGGAAGCGATGTTATGGAAATTAGCAGAGCCATCGGAAAATTGGTCGACATTAGCTTCAACATGCGCTACTCAAATGAAGAATTTCCATGAAAAATTAATTGTCAAGTTAGTTTCAATCTGCCATTTTATTCCTAATTTTTACAAGCAAAGGTTTCTTTCTAGAAAAAGCTCAGCAGGGTACAAGATTTACCTATGTTTAAAATAGATAGTTGAGGTTTAAATAAATCTGCATGCATATTGGTGCAAATTAGGGCTGTGCGAGTACTCGAATTTCGAGTCGAGTCGAGCCGAGTATCGAGTACTCGACTCGGCTCGAAAGTTAGGTTAGGTTCGAGCGAGTACTCGAACTCGGCTCGAGTGTCAACAACACGAGTTTTTTCGAGTATTTCGAGTTTTTTTGAGCCGGAAACGCCGAAAGAGTCCAACTTCCAAACATTTCAATCATACTTTAACTATTGTTAGTTTTGCCATCATTTTAAGATTGAATAACATCAGAGTCTCGTCGGCAAATTTCTACCATCCGCAGCGCCAACACGCTACCGCCCGGCGATTTCCTGCCGCGCGCGCGGTTTGTAACTACACGGAGTCATATAAGCGCATTTATGCGCGTGACAAATTTCAACCTGCGGCGGCGACCGCCGCTTGGAAAACTGAAAGTGAGCACGTGTTTTGGACCTTTTGCGCTCCAGAAAAACGGTGTCGCGGCGGCAAAAAAAAGGTGCTGCGGCTACAAAAATAGGAATCGCGCGATTCCAAAAAACGTCGCGGCGACAACTGCCGCCGGCGACACGAATTGCGTGCATAAATGGGCTCTATATAAAGCCTTTATTTGTGCCGCCCGAAGTTCCTTTGATGTACGCCGCGCCACGCCGCTTCTTGCCAGGTTTTGTCCTCTTTTCAAATTAAACCGCGGGAAGTTATTTTAACGCGTTACTGCCGAACATTTTGTAATTTTAGTGTAAATCCTTCCTAGTGTGTCATCGTCAATAATTATTAATATCATATTATGAGTCTTGTTTGAAATTATTTGTTGTAGAAAATAGATTAAATCACGTTTTAAAACTCGAAATTACTCGAACTCGACTCGAGCTCGACTCGGCTCGAGGGTCATTTTCAAAGCTCGAAAAAGCTCGAACTCGGCTCGACTTAGTAAAAAAATACTCGAACTCGGCTCGAATCCAAAAAACCAGGCTCGCACAGCCCTAGTGCAAATATTGAACCCCACTCAACTCCCCTTTTAAATACTTCTGATTTAGATCGTAGAGTCAATTTTTTTTTTATCAGCTAGTTTTTCACATGTTTAGGGGTCGTTCGATATATCAAACAGTTTTATATTTGATATCTATTCCTTTAACTTCAGTGGCAGTTTAGTGTGTGTCTTGTTAGTCCTTAATTTATAAAGTTGTTTTGACTTTCAGCTCAATTGTCAACTGCATTGCAACGGATGAAACGGATTTCAATGAGGCTCTAGAGCCACAGTTGACTTCAATGCAGCAATTACTAGTGGTATTTTGTCATAGGCTTACATCTTCACATCACCCTACCTTGATAGAAACTCTGCTTAAAACCATTGAATGGAATCTCTTCATTTGCGAGGATCGCACAAAAGAAGTTGGCTCGAAGGGGAAAAAAACAAAAGCTCAAAAAGCTAGACTCCAAGCAGAATTAGAGGTATGATTATTTTGACTGTATGTATTTAAATAAAGCTTACATATCTACCTGTAATCATTTCTAGAAGAGCAAGTGTAAGCTCAATCATTTTCCTTTGCGTGGCTCTTTTTTTTTCATTTACCAATTGAGTAATTGATTATTAAATAATTAAAGTTAGTTGATGTATGACGATCAAGGTGAAAATATGCAAATATCATGATCTTTACATGGCATTTTAAACTTTTATTGAGTCAGTAGATTATCTTTCTATTTACTTTGTAAATAAATGTCTTTTAGATTTGTGTCGAATTTTCCAAAAGTTACCACTAAAGAGTTTTACAGTCCTGGCGCTTAGACAATTATCCTCAATTTTTGTCATTTTATTTTTTGTAGGAAACTGCATATGAAAACGTCCTGGCCATATTATCACCTTTTTAAGGCAAGAGAAAGTGCACATCTTCGGTCAAACTTTATCTGGCCCCCACTCATTTCCACCAATTACCTGAAAAAGTAAGATAGTTTTAAAAAATTGTTAATTTTAATTTGAGTCTTCCTTTAGTTGCAGGTTCAAAAAGTTGCAAATCTGTCGGCATTTTTTGTACTGATTTGTAAGTCTTCAAATAATCTACGCCGTTGTCGAGCTTTTATTTATGATGCTTTGTACATGTCGGTCAACAGAGCACATCTGATTATCATCTCAGTTTTATCATTTTGGCCCCGTGTGCTTCCTCTAGCGAAGAATTCATCAGGTATGTTCATTTAATTAAGAATCATCCTTTAGCAGGATAGGGTAAAGTGATTTTTGTAGGGCTTTTTTTGTTTTTAAAAAATAAAAAATAAACAAAAATAATATAAAAAAAACCTCAATTTTCTCTGAAAGGGATAAAGTGACGTTTAAAAAAATTTAAAATTCCAACCAGATCAAATTGAAATATTGGATTAGTTGGACTAGAGGTTTCTTATTCTATTCTAAAGCCAAAATTTTTGCATCGCAAAGATCATTAAAATATGCCATGTCATTTATAAATATATTAAGGTCTGTCCTCCTATTGTGAGGAAAGACGACACGGCCTCAACTTAAAGTAATTTTTTTCAATATATACAAAATTTTACAAAGATAGATTTACCCATCCTCTCTTTTAATGAATATTTTTTCTTATTTTATCATTCATAAAGCTCCTTTTTCGGAGGTTGCAAACATCTCCAAAACCTAGACCATTTCTTGCAATCCCACACTTTTGCTGGGTGGCAGTTCTTTGATTTGCCTCAAGAAAAATTTTGCGATGTAATGGCAAACTGCCCAATTCCACTGCAATACTTGTGAACTGCCTAATATTATACTGTGAAGAGTGAAAAAGATGGAAAAAAACATGAAAGAGGTCATCACTTGTAAAAATCGCCTTGTAGCTTAGGATTTGTCTTACATTAACAGCAGTCCACAGATTGTGAGATCAGGCAATTTTTACATTATCTTATATTTAAAATCAATCATGAAATTTGAAAAACTTGATGATTAAAGATTCAAAGTCAAAAGATTTTTAAATTGAGCACTAGAAACTAGAGGGAAGTAAAGTAAAGAGATTAAATTTAAAAATTTGTTTAAAAAATTTAAAATGTTAAATCAGTAATTGTACAATTCGAAAAAGATACTTCGAAAATCCTAAATGGTCCTCTTTTTGAAATTTGAGAGCCAAGACGTTGCCACTGAACTTGAATTTCGAGCTTATCTCACAGGAAGCGGATAAGACAGAAAGTCACTTAGGTCGAAATTCCTCTCTTTCCCCAGGCAATTTGAATCAGCCATATTTCACTGTAATTATTGTTTCCTCGGGACGTAACTAGTTCAGAATGATAAATATTTTCCTTGAGAGTCTCTTTTTTCAGGCTCCTCTCATTGATATTATTTTTCTTTTTTGCAGAATGTCCTGTTACCATGGTCATGGTCTACGAAATTTTTAGTCACAAATCGTGCAGCCAAGATGATACTTTCAAAGTTACAGAATTGAAAAATCTCCTCCGACTCCGTTACGGATATTCTGATCCTATATTTGCCCAAATAACTCGAGAAAGTATCATTGCAACTCTGTTCTCAATGTTGGATCGCCCAGGTACTTTTTTTCTCTTTTTTTTAATAAATATCCGTCCAAGTGTGGTTCATTTGCAGTATCAAGCACTATCACCTAAATTTTCTTTTCTTGGCTTGCCAAAGTCACAGAGGCTATGCCACTTACTATACAGCACTTGATTATTGTCCTGATCTTAAAGTCAGACTGTATTCCTCGCAAACCACCTCAGAGACCATTGGTCACTTTACACAGCAGCCACAAGAGAGCAAGGCATTTATTTTCAAAAACAGTAGACTTTCTCTTATAGTTTCATTTAAGAATATTATTTGAAAGCTATCTGAAATTCTCTAAAAATCGTAAGTTGCCATGTGAATTATTGCTTCACTATTGTATATTTCCAGGTAATGCATTGTGCTGAGCTTTCAAATTTTAGGATTTGTTTATTAACATATAAAGTCACTATGTAAACGCCACAAGGTGCCTGGCGCTCAATGCCAACCTTCTCCTTCCCCTTCTTGTTTCTCAGGAATTTCTTTTACTATCCAAGGTAAACTGTAGATGCTTGAAAAGGAGTCTGGAGAGAGAACATTTCTCAGGAAATTCTTTCAGAAATGTTTGTTTAGGTAAAAATCACCTCTTAGTAAGGAAACTTCAAAAAAAAAAAAATGGAATATTCTCCTTTGAATAGCTTCTTTTATGGACCTATGGCTACGTTTATCTTTGTAGCTATTTAAGCAAGGTTATTAAGCTTTTGAAGGTAATAAAATTAAGTAAAACATTTCTCTTTTCCTCCACAAGACCAAAGTTCTGAATTTGCATATAAATCCTGGTGTGGTGAGATTTATTTCTAGGAATTGTTCCTCTCTCAGTGCCACGGACTAGTTTAAGATCATTCAAATTACGGTGACAGCAAGAAATTCCCAATAATTTACAGGACTGTGCAGGGTGTTCTTGGCGAGTACGTCTCATTTCCTGAGCTTCACATAGTCATTGCCCCCTCTCAAATCGATTTGTTTTCCTATCTAGCATGTGTTACCAGTCCCATACTATTGCACGTACGTCTTTTTTTCAAAACTCTCAATGTAAATATGACTGGTTTGCTTAACGCCATTAATTTTATTTTCTTCTTCTTTGTTTCTTTATCACATATGTGACTCAAATGTATTTGTGGAACAAATAACAATAGGTGAATGAAATTAATGGATTGCAGTATTAAGAAAATATCGATTCATAAGGATGAACTAATTCGTTTTTTTTTTTTTTCAGGCTGTGTTGAAGCATTTGTTCTTCTTGCCAAACGAGGGCAGTGGAGGTGGACTGCTTCGAAACTGGTTTTTGGATTCCTCTTCCCAATATTAGAAGACTTTAGAAACAAAAAAATTGGAGAAACCAAGGCCAAAACTGCTATTAAAATCATTGGTGAGTTTTTTTGTCCCCATATTTGTGGCATTTTAGTGCATACTGTATTATTCTTGCATTTTTTTTTTTCTAAATGAGATTCTCACTCCAGCTCTTGACATTTTGTGAATCAAAATTCTTCAAATACGCAATAAAAAACTAAATGAGGTTGTGGCAAGGAATTTTTGCTGAGTTGTAGTGCAGATTTTCCTATGCAAAATTTGGTGAAAAAAAAACCAAAAAGCACATAAAAGCTTTTCCGAGGGGAAAAGAAGCTTATCAAAAGCCATCAGTCAACTTGACAAAGCAAGGTGCTTATGGCAGAACTCAGCCAAGCTGTCAACGTTATTTCCTCAGCCTGATTACTTCACCAGAGCCCGCCAAAATTTTTTTTACATAATTTATTATTCGTATTATTGTATTTTTAGAATTTTCAAAACAGAAATTCTTTGCTATCTATGATTAAAAAATCGAAAAAAATTTTAGAAGCTTAGTTGCTGTAACCTTTACTTTTGGAAAATTATTTTAAAAAAAGAGGTGCCTTTGACCCATTCTAAATCCAGGTTAGAAATGTGTAGAAATTATGGAGTGTGAAGCTACACTTTCGTAATGCTGATCTAACATCGTTTTTTAAGGGGCTGCGTGCTTTCTTATTTGAAAAAGCCTTCTATAATCTTCACGAACTTGTAGGATAGAAAAATTTAAACCTTGTACCTTATGTATATCGCTGTAACTGTTCACCATGTACCAAATATGACGTGTGCCATAGCCTCAGCCAGAGGCTCAATTGTACAAATTATAAAATAAATAAATAAATAAATGTGTTCTATGTATTTATCATATTTCAGTATTAATGCCTAAATAATGCATGGACATTCATCATTTAACAGAATATTTCGCGAAAGATTCTCATTTCATATTTCAGCACCTGAAAAATTTCACCTTTAATTTTCGATAAAAAAAATTCTGTCTTTTATTCGTCCATCTGAATTTCATATTATGTTTTCAGGCCTTGTTGCAAGAGCTTTTCCTCCAGGTGAAGCGTGGCTAGAAACAAAGAAAATATTAGAGTACTTGGAACATTTGCTGCTGGACAGCACACTTGGTAAGAGACCTACCTATTTTAATAAGCAGCTCTTTGAATTTATTAGCATTTAATTTCAGGGATGCAGAAAGTGCTCGATCGGCTGATCGCAGACTGATAGCGGAGTAAATGTGAAGGCACCTGAAAAGGGTAAAAAAAGGGGAAGGCAGAAGCCATGAACCAGCTAAGTGCATAACTTCTTGCGAAGGAAACTGTGTAATGCACTCTCTAATGCAAAGGAAATAGTTAAGCACGCTCCTTTATGCGAAGAAAATAGTTGAACACACTCATTTATGCAAAGGAAAAATTGAAGCACCCTAGTCTAATGTGAACAGCATTGTGAAGGTACCCTCAAAGAATGTGAAGGCAAAGAACTCTCTGCTCCCCTGTTCAGTTATTTCCTCCATCATGAGTTCTTTTGTTCAACTTTCTTTTCTTTACTTATTACGAGGTCTGTTAGATTAGAAACCGGATTTTGGTCATAACTAGCCTACAATGCGTCCAAATTACGTTTTCTTGAGCTTTTTTGATAGCTGAAAATATATTTAAGAACGCTACGTTCACAAATTTGAAAAATATTAATTAGCTTCGTTGGTATATGGCTTGATGTAAGGCAACCTCAAGGGTGTTTTGCGATTTTTATGTTTGACTGAACTTGTCTCTCTTTTTTTGGTCTTGCACAACATTTTTCAACCCACAAGGACAATTGGAGTTTCGTCTCCATATCGTAGCCATAAACTAAAGTATTGTCACCGAAAATTATCCTATCCAAAAATGTAGGATTATTGTTAGAACGTTCAAGCAGCTAAAGGAAATATGACATTTGGTTGGATTTTCGTTCAACGGACAACAATCAAGGGGCAAGTGTACCTGAAACTCGATGCAAGTCTACATATTCTATCAAAATTGTATGTACAGAGCCTTTAGAAATATTACTCTGTTCAACAATCTCGAAACGACCATTTTCGAGCACTTTTGCCCGCATTTCTTCCACGTGACAAATGTCAGTCGCCGTTGAAGGTCGATTCCCATGCTCCTCATTTTTGACGAACTCCTGACCAGTTTTGAATCGTTTAACCCATTCAAAACAGTGGGCGCATCTCATACAATGATCATGGTAAACTTTTCTTGGCATATACCAAAAGTTTCGGTACAAGGTATACCGAGTTTAAAACAAAATTTAATGTTGAATCTTTGCTCTGTCAGTGATCGCATGCTAAAATCGCAAAACGCACCTGACTTACTCGTATTCAAGATGACACAGAATACACACTGATCAAAATAAACAAAATCTGTGAACGTAGCGTTCCTAAGTATATTTTCAGCTATCAGGAAAGCTCAAGAAAACCTAATTCAGACGCATTGTGGGCTGGTTATGACCAAAATCCGGTTTCTAATCTAACAGACCTGGTATTATGTTTAAAAGAAGGAACTTCAATACCTGTCAAAGCAGCACTAATTAAAGTAAAATAGGTATGACAGCTTATTCTGAACATCCTGACACACTTGCTTTACCACTGCTGGAGGAGTTACCTTGACTGTTTGCCAGTTCAGCAACTTGCAATAAAAATCTAGGAAATCCTCTGGTACTTAAGGTTTTAATTCTGCAACATCGCACAGTTTCTGGGTTTTTATCGGAAAAATGGACTTCAGTGGTTTCCTCATGACCCAATTCAATTCATCTCCCATATCAATGACTAAAGTTGGAAAGAGAGTACATATCTTGATTGCAATGTTTCACAATCTTGAACTGTGTTTTATTTTTGCTTTCTCGTCCCTTCGCGGGTAGAGGAAGTGTTTTTTTAAACAGAAGCTAATCAAAATATCTCTTGGAAATTTTCCTCAACACTCGTCTTAAATGAAAGGAAAATATTTACAGGAAGTCCTGAAAAGAGCTTCAAATGGTTAATTTTCATTGAGAAAAATAAAAACGTATGCAAAGATTTGAAGCGTCCCAATTAAGTGGAGCATCCTCAAAAAGACTCACTAGAAATGAAAATACAAGAAAAACTGTGAAAACTGTAATAATCGTCCCGTTTAATTTTTCGATTAAGTAATAATAATGCCATTCATCAATTAAATGCTCAAATGTTTTGGAACCAAAAGATTTGGAAGGGGAAACTTTTTTTTTTTTTTTGGTATTTTTATTTTTGGCATTGGAGTCTTTTTGAGATTGACCACTTCAATTCCAGGTATGCATTTTTCCATCAATATTCTATTCATTTAATTCTTGACTGGCGAGTGTAAAAAGATCCAAACCGGTATAGATCTCTCGCCGTGACTCCAATTTAATATTCCAATGCAAACTGCCTGAGCTGAACACTCCCCCCTCCCCTCAGTTTTGTACTGGTACTCATTAGAGTTAAAAAGATGTATTTTTGACTCTAATTATAATTTTTGGAACTTCTTGGCTTTGATTTCCCTGCAAAATGGTGTGGACCCAGCACCATTTCTCCACCTTGTTACTTAAGGTATTCGGGCCACTTCTTAGTGTTTTTTTCTCATTTAATTCTTGATTAATAAACTTTTTTTCTATCTCCTCAGGTGGAGCATGCTTCAAGGAGGCAATTGCAGTTAGTGTTGCTCAGCTGCATAGATCGGATCCAGATATTACTTTCTCCATTTTGTCTAAATGGAATTCGCCTGACAAAAAATTATCAATAGAATTTTTAGAAAATGTGAAATCTTTGTTTTATGGCAAAGCACTTCCAGATTGGTATCAGAATTTATCTAAAATATGTTTATAATGTTTGATAATAAGTTCAAGTACCTGAAGTTGCCTTAAATGGATCTGGATGTGAGAGTAGTCCTAGCATTTAATTACTTCGTATCTTTAACTTAAATTTTGCCAATTCCTTTTTCCTCGAACTAAGAAAATACTTAAATTTTGTTCAATACTTTTCCATCCCTGTACATCTGCAAGAAAATATGCAAATCATATATTTTTATGTCTTAGAGTATGAATATTATTTGATTTGGACTATTTTCATCGCTTGGTCCCTTTTTAATTATTTTTTAAAATCGGATTGGATAAACCCAATCCACCCTTGGGATGGAATTATTTTTAGTTTTTGACTACCTTGTCAAAAATAGAGTAAGAATATAATTTCTACTATCATTTTTTCTTATTTTTTTTAGCTATTCTCAATGCTTGGTCCCTTTTTTTTATTTTTTTATAATATCCCATTGGATAAACCCAAACTACCTTTGTGATGGTATTATTTTTAGTTCGTGATCACTTTTACTCTAGATCCTTTCCTGCTAGATATATTTACTTCGGCACCTCTTTTTATCAATCATCAGACATGAGTTCAAGTTTAGATTTCTCCAGTAGATTGATAATGTAGCAACGTTATCCTCGCGATATCCAATTTGTTGATTTGCGATGGTTAAAACCAAATCAGTAGATCATGACTTTATGTCAAAATTCTGTGTGAGTTAACTGTGTTAGTCATTTACAACTTGTTCTCTATTGAGTCATAAGTCAGTAAATGATACATTATCATCAGAAGTTTTGTTTGCAAAAAACTTATAAACACATTTTACCACCATTCGGCAAATATGACAAGCGAATGTGTGTGTTTGTATTTGAAACATCAAGACTGATTGTGAGGTATAAATCTATGACGCAGCCACCAAACCCTTATATGTAACCCCTTCTGTGTCTGCTGAAATGGTATATAAAGCTCTTTTAGTCAATTTAAGTTTAATGCCTTTTTCAGAAAACTCAGGATTATAGTTCTCCATTAATTCATTATCTGTAAACAATTTGTATGTTCCTTATCCTTTTTTTATGTTTAATTGTAATGGATACAGTAGTAAGTCCGTAAATATTTGAATATAATAATTTCAATAAGTAAATATTTTTACTACATCGCGGAATATAACTGAAAAAGGTCCGCACCAATTACTGACTATGCCTTTTTGCAAAGTGCTAACTTTTTCAGGGACTATCGCATCTTTATGTTTATTCCTTGATAGCCTACCCAAAAAGTTTAAGTGAGAGCTTCCTACCCAGTGCTAGTACAACCTGCAGTTATTTCTTTCTCAAGGAAGTTATGTGAATTTAGTTGATTTTGATTTTCTAGTGAAAGATTTTTCAATGAAAACTCTGAATATCAGCAATTGCAGGTCTGTATGTCAAAGTTGCACAATTTTATGTTAAAAAAATTGGAAAGCAATGTCTGAACCTGCTGGTCTCAATTTTATAAGTAACAACAGGGGAGAGCTAGTGACTGGTTTGGGGTAATGTTTAAGAGTTGAAACGCAGGTATATCGGCATAGTCAAAGAATCCAGTCTTGCCGACGTCGATCAATTTTTATACAATAGATCGAGCTGCTCACCTTACTCAGCCCCTTAGCTGTTACATTTCGTTGTAATTCATAGTATATTTTCTGCTTTGGCACTGGCTGTTACGTGTCTATCATTACATTGTGAGTGAAAAAGTTCAAAGTAACAAGAAAGGCATTATATTTTCCTGGACTTTATCCCGGCTAACAGCAGCAGCAGTACAAAGTTTTCTTTGTTCATTTTGTTTTACTTGGGTCAACCTTTTTACAATTTGCTTACTCTCTACATTTATGTTGAGAATATGCAGCAATTTTTTCATCCGGTGTTCAGTAGTGCTTTACGGCTTTTTTCCAAACTTTACTCCAGTTTGGTGTAGAGAATTCCAAAAAGAAAAGAGAAATAATTATTTCCCTCGTGAGCATAACCCGTGTATTTGCAACTTTCGAAGTAACTGGTATTTTCCATCTAAAATAAGTTTATCATTTTATTTCACTTTCACCTAGCCAGTTGTCTAGTTTTAGTTTCTCGAGTCTTATGCTGCATTTTTGTTCGAAGCAAAATTTGATTTCAACAATTGCTTGTCATGGAATGTAAAAATGTATGATGTCTGTTTATAATGTAAATATTTATTATGAGCCATTTGGTTTGAAGATAAATCTCTGTTACATTGTTTTGCTGTTTATTTTTTGTTACAAATTGAAATGGAAAGATGATATTACAAATATTTCTTTAAAAAAAATATAAAAGCCTTCCTTTTCTCATCGCCACCTGCTTGACTCCAGAACAAAGGTTGTAACTATGTTGAATCATACTGTCAGTGTACATCAGAAATGACAGAACAGGCATCTATTAGTCCATCAATATTTAGTGGCTTGCCAAACATTCACGGATATGGACTGATGTGAAACATTGCATTGATTGACTGAACGTAAAGAAAACATCACTGCAGCATTAATGTTTGCAATAATGTTGTTAAAACGTTTTCGCAACCATTTTTTACTGGTTAGAATGTTTTCTTTTGTGTAGTTCTAGACTAATTAAAATGTTCATCATCAAAAAAAAAGGTACCCAATGTCAATCAAATTTTGGTCAAAAGGGGTTGTCAGAGTAGTTTTGAACACAATTATCGTATGTTCTCCCTTAAAAATTTGAAGCAAAGAAAAACATTTTAAATGCATAAAAGGACTTGAACTTTATCTGAGACATTAAGTTTTATGGAAGAATGAAACTTCAAATCTGCTCTTCTAGATTTACCTAATCTTGGAATAGTTGGTTTCATTCTGTTTAACTCAGAACATATCCACGGTGTAAATCAGCAATCACATAACTCAGTTTGCGACGTCACAGACTTCTTGTTATACTTAATTTTTTAAACAGAAAACTGCTCAGTGGCAACTCTTTAAAACTGCCATGATTTTTCTTCCCTAGGCAAAGAAAATTCTGCAAAAACTTCAAGGAATGATGTCAATTTGTTCTCCTTTGAAGAGATGACTTAGAAGTGGAGATTTTCAGACACCACAATCAAGATATGTGATTGCTGGCTTACAATATCAATATGTGACTGCTTACAAGGAGGAATTTGAGTCCATGGAAACAAAATTTTCCATGAAGCTATTTTTGTCATGTTGGGTCGAGAAATCTTGCCAACAGTATACTTGAAGGTAAGGAGCTGGGGATGAGGCAAGCCGGTGCGCCTAGTTAACGCATATGAAAATTAAACCCTGGATCCTGCTTCAAAGCTTATGTGGACCTGCAAAGAGAGGTTGCTTGGCTCATGCTACTGCAGTCACAGCTTCCTCCAAGGAAAACCTTAACTCTTCTAGGATGCTAACAGGGGAGCTGCCACTCACCTCATGCACCTCTTCCAAAAAAAAAAGGAAGTTCCCTGCAAGAGTTAGTCCCCTAAGTATTTCAAATAATTGATGAGAAATAAACTGAACTGCCATAATTAGAAACACAATAACCATTTATTCATAGAAAACTAACAAGACTCATACATTCTTCAAGTAACTCATAAAACTGAATGCCTTGGAAATATATACATAAAATGTTTGACATACTTAGATACTGAACCAGGAAGGAATGCCAGATCTTTCCCCATCTTGTTTGTTTGTAAAACTAGTAGTGTTCTGCGCCGCCTCCTCTGAAGATGCTTCTAATTTCCGCTTTGTTTCAGACTGTGAATCCACCTCATCAATGTCAGGAAATTGAAAAGTAGTTCCTCGCTGAAGTTTCACGTATGCTCTGCGAAAGTCATCCTCTTTGATGATGTAAGCATTTTTACGCCACGGGCGACATTTGCCGGCAACAATTGCAGATCGTACTTCTGCTACAGGTACTTTGTAAATCTTTTCTAAATAGTTCTTGATATCATGATTAGACATACCAGTAGGTACCTGAAACTGCACCACATCTGGAGGTTGCTTGTCATCAGGCTTGACAAGTTTCATCCAGTAGTTGGGAAGAAAGACGCGCAGCTGAGGATTGCCTTTTTGGTATATTGGATACCATCGTGTCGACATGATGGATCAAAGTTCACCTACGACACTTCGACAACTAATGATTCCTTTAAAGCACTATCAATTGATTTAATAATAACGATACACTAGTACACAATGGTTTAGAACAAATTTAGAATTATTGTGAATGTCAAGTTTCTGTAAATCTAAAATCAGACGCAAGACGCAAGCATAAAGTATGTACTGTTACTTAACCTAAAAAATTTTATTGTTGTTGTTGTAGGACGATATTGTTTGCGTTGGTTGGTGGTTTGCATTGATGATTGATGGCTCTACGGTTCGCTTGTTTTGGCGCCAAAAACCTAACCTTGTTTCTTTTGTTGATATCAGAAATATGAAATGGTGGTGTGATAACGAGAGACGTCAGAAAATACTTTTAGCTATTGCTGTTGGAATGGAAAGTGTAAATTTATACGTTTAGAAGTTATACGTGAATCGTGAATTGAATGGATCTCATTATATTTCTGATTGTATTGCAGATCTGAAACGGACATTAAAGTATCATTCTATCATTCACATCCCAGTGAGTTTCTCCTGTGGTCTCCATGTCACTCCCTAGCATGCCTCTTTTCCACGTCATTTTTCAAACCTAACACTAGAATTTTACGCGCTCTTTCTTCGATAGCGTAAACTAATTTCCTAAAAAACTATAATATATCATCTTCACCCCAAGTTTTTCCATCAACAATGCCTGTCTCCCGGCCTCCCACAAGATTTGCCCACACCAATGGTCACACGGACCTTTGTTACTCTGATGATGGACAGTAAGTATTTTCCTTTTCTGTTTCCACCATTGACTTATAACTCAATCTAGACTGCGCACTAGGCCCGGCTTTAGGCGGGGGAGGTAAGATAGCCAGGGGTAAATCAGGGTAAAGACGTGCCTTTAGTTTAGTTGATATAGCTGGATATACGAAGGGTACCAGGCAATGGCACAGCCAAGACTGGCATTTCCATTGTCTCGGTAGTTATTGCCATCTGGGTTGCCTATCGTCTCGCCGAAATTTCCTAATGTGCGCTACAAATTGTATTATACGTCAATGGTTTCCACCAATAGATGTTATTCTGAACGTTTATAGGGACATAATTATCACCTGATGATTAAAACTTCATATTTGTCCATGACCAGGGATAACCAAGATGTGATGGAGTTATGTGATCAGTCGATTGTAGTGATTGCGCTTGAGGATCCCCCTCTCTCATCTCTCCACTGAATTAGATTCCTTGGTGACTAATTATTAGATGATCATATTGCAGGACGAAGAAATGAGAAAAGACAATCCTTGAGCCTGAGTGCTGCAGCTAATCAATCATATCACCCTACCGTATCTTATCTTGTCCAATCGGCAGGATTTTATCAGATTGACCACCGTTAAATTTACTCAGAACTATTCTTTTAGGAAAAAACGACAACGCATGTGGTGCCATTTTCTAGGTGCTCATATTTTTCCAAGAATTAAGTACCTTGTTCAGTTTAAGGGAAATAGAAAGTTTTGTTTCAGGTATGATGAAGCCCGCTCATTGTATGTTGAGACAAACGTCAAAGTATTGTTTATGTCACCACTCGTCAGTGGTGCCATCTGACGGCATGTCTTAACCTGTTGAGTGGTGCTAATTCAGAGCTAATCAGAGATTGATGTTTTTCTCAACATACAATGCAGGATCTCTATATTTCTAAGATCATACATGTGAGATGGTGTTGTTTGGTGTTTAAGTACAATAATTTACAGTTGATCAATGTCTAAAATATTTACCTCTGTTACGTAATTGCACCAGACTTTTACCAGAATATAAACTCAATGCTGTCAAAGTGAAGACTGAACTAACTATTGGATGAGAATGTGGGAGAGCTGAATAAAAAATTAGAATTTTGAGAGGCCGAAAGTTTTATATTGAAATTTGGAAAAGTTAAAATTACAAGAGAGTCAAATTTATAGCTAGGATACGCCAGAAGGGCTTGAGAGGGTAACGTATGTACATACCGGTCAGGGATGGAATGGACCAAGAAAATTAGGCAGCTCATGCTTATACTTGATGGCGCCACGGGCGGTGAGACTTCAAGTCTACGCAATTGGCTTGCCATAATCAGTAAAGCTATCAGTTGCAAGTCTAGTCATTAATTTTATAGGTGATGGCTGGATGATAGGAGTAAAAATACGAAAAATGAGCAGAATCCAGCCATCCCCAATGACTAGTCCGAAATGAAAATGAAAATTGAGAATTTAAGGCAAAAATATGGGAAAGTGTTGACTAATGCCCTCCCTAAAATTAACCAACTTTTGCCTGTATTACATTAAAAGTGACATCACAGAGTGAATAAACAATTGGATATAATAAAATTCATGGAATTGTCTCCATTGTGACCTGGACCTTGAGACTCACGGATACATGCGAGACAGGGCCCATGTAATGATGGATATAGTTTCTTTTGGTTTAAATACGTTCGATTATTTAATGATTTCTCATCACTATATTTAAATTTAAGAGAAAGTTTTGCATCTTTTCCACCTGATCATAAAGACTGGGCAGTAGAGCTTTTTATCTATTGTGCAAGAGTAAACATTTTTTACATCCAATGTAACTGCACGTCTAATGCAATTAACCGCAGACATTTGCACCTAAACGCTTAGAGTCATTTGAAGCTTTCGCACAGACTTGGTATCTAATTTTAATTAGGAGTTAAAATTTGTTTGTCTACATTGTACATGTCTTAATTCATTTTCCAGGCATATTCTCACAAGTGGATCAGAGGGTGATATCAGAATATGGACAAGTCCAACTGATGACAACCAGTTTGATAAATGCATAGGGGATGTCGTCTTTGCAGTTGCTCAGAAGGTAAAAAATATTCATATTTCCAGGTCTGTTAACTCCAGGGCACTATTTATCCATTGGCCAGAAGTCCTCTTGAACCTTTAATTTTCTGTTGATTACCCTGTGACTAAAGCTGCAGTATATGTAAGAGTTTCTGTACCTTTTCAGTCTGTAGAATTTTGAACACATGAGTGAAAAAAAAAAAAAAAAAATCTTTTTTTTCCTACCAATTATAGGAAAGTAGCAGGAAAATATCATCAGCAAACACTCCTTCTACTACTCGCATCAGATGAGTTTGCAGTTGTTTACTTCTCATTTGCAGGCAACAGTGCTGCTGTTCTCCAGTAGCAATCAAGGATCGACCGAGTGCAACAACAGCGCCATGCTGTCATTGTGTGCAGGTACTGATAACTAATTGATAGCTGAGGAGATATTGCTAAATTTGTCTTCCAGGTGTGACAGATGGAAGTAAACAATTGCCAAATTTTCTACTGCGAATTATAGATTCCTTTCAAAACAAAGATAAAAGTGATAATTACTTAAACAGAAATAGTTATTGTTTTCATTATGAAAGAGAGCTGATTTTCTGTTTTGCCCTCCCTAGGATGTATCAAGTTATTCATTACCTGTTGTTTTATCAATTTCCTACCTAATTTCCTGTTTTTTCTCCAGTGTGGGAAGATTTATGTTGGTGCTGATAACAACAGTGTCCAGATTTTTACTTATCCTGCTGCAGAACTGGATGGTATGCTCACCCGTTTCACCGCTCCTGTCACTCACATTAGTGTTACTCCTGATGGAAAATTTGTCGCTGCATCCTCACGGTATTATGGATTGTTTCAATTCAAAATTACAAACAATAAATATGTATCTCCACAAATTTCACAGATATCAAAGTGAAATCTGACAATATGAAGTAGATTACATCCTACCTTCAAAACATATTTAGATTGCATACTCCTTTTTTCATGTTTGGATGTGTAGTAATCCCTATGAAACAACTTCCTTTTCTTTTTCTCTCCATTTTTGTTTTCAAGTATACCAACTGCACCCTAGCATATTGGTTATTCATATGATATTTACAGGCACTTGAAAGTACTGGAATTAATTTGATGTTTTCTCAATACTTTAATTCTGAAAAATGGTCAAAATATACATAACTTCGTCAAAAATTCTTCAAAGAAAGGACAGAATCTACCCTTGAACATTGAAGATATCAAACTTGTGATGAAAGTACATGAGGGCAAAGCATCTGAGTTCGTTGAGTTTTTAGTAATCAGCTTAGATTAAGGATATAAAGCATAGGGGACTCTGCTGAAATGCCGAAAGGTGCTATTCGTTGTTTTCAGAAAATTTGTAAAAAATATTACAACATTTTCGATTTTTTCAAAGAATATACTCACCTAAATAAAAATACTTGACACTGTAATAAGAACAAAAAAAATTCACTGCTAGTGCATTCATACCTAAAGATTTGCTCAGATAGTTCTTGAGAACATTTAAATCACTATTTTTTTTCATCTTATTTTTTCTCTGTTTTTCATGCGTATTTTCATGATATTCTCATGATATTCTCTTGTCTTAATCATGTTCAAAAATGAACCATCAAAATGCTTTAATTTTTTGACAATTTGAATTTACCTATTCTCATCATTTTAATGTAAAGTAGACGCTCATTTCTCTTTTTCTGAGGCTTTTTTTGAAATTCACATTTCTTCTTCTTTGCACTTCTTTTTTTAACAAAGCTTACATTTCAATCCTTTGATCTCAATTTGTTTATTCTCTAGCGATATGCAGGTTCATGTTTGTAACACAACTACAGGCACAGTGACAACATTTACCGGTCATGTTGCTCCAGTTTTGAGTGTGGCTATGGATCCTCGCCATGAATATGTCGTAAGTTTGGAATAAATCTACAATCAATTTGCGCCCCCTCCAGTTATTTCAATAAAAGTTTATTTCAAAACGCTTGTCTAGCTAACGTACTGAACCAGATAGCATACTTGACTAGTAGAATGTCTTTCTACAAAGTCGTCTCAATTAAATTGTGTGCCTCTTTCCAAGTCTCTGTAAAAAAGATAAACTCATATTCATTAGTAACTTGAGTTTAATTGAAGAAAACAAGAAGGTACTGAAGATAAAAGTTAACATTGATCAAAAGTAAACAAACTTTTAAGCATCAAAATATAATTTTTAATTGAAATCAAATATAAAACTTGCAATGAAAACTGAGTTACACTGTCATATCTCTTTGATACACTTTCCTCCAATAATCCCTCTAGACCGTATCAGATGATCATCTAATCTCACAATTACCCATTCTGAGCATGCTTGAAGAAACTAAAGGACAAAATGCTGAAGTATCCAATTTTTTAGCAAAGATGAAAAGAAAATTAAACTAAAAAGACTAAATCATTTCCAACTTTTTTTTCCCACTTAGGTATCATCGAGTTGTGATGGGAGTGTCAGAGTTTGGAACATAGCAGATCGGACTGTTGTAAAAAAATGGGAGGATGTTCTTCCGGCGAGCAAATCTTTCACGCTATCCAGGACGCTCTGTCGAATGTCATGGCAACCAGTCAAAGGATACTATTTGGCTGTTCCATTTGGAGAGGAAATTCATATTTTTGATCGGAAAGTATGGGAAAAAAAATTCACCGTGACCAGTTCGATCATGTCATCCCAGGTAAATTTTTTGAATAAAGCGATAATTATATAACTTGAACAATTGAACATGCCCATTCCTGTATAAATTATTGATGTTTCTTAAGTTGTGCGGATGAAAAATGACAGAACCATATCCGTAAATGACAACTACTGTATCATTGGTTCTATGAAAACCTTCATTTTCGAATTAAATACAAGAAGGCTAAATGCTGCAAAAGATTAAGACTGGCTTGAGATTGATTTTTAAACAACTCTTCGACAACTGAAAAAGTAATTTCTGCTTACCTAATCTAAGTTTAACCTTTTCTTGAATGTGACTTTTCTTAACTAAAAAATTTAAAAATCAGTAACTCAGGTATGATTTGACATCTTAGGGCGTATTCGTCCTGAATTATGCTTCGAAAATATCGGTGAATTTTTGCCATCAAAGGTTCCTGTTTTCATAAGCAGTCACATGTAAATTGCTCAAGTATCATCTGTTGTTTTATCTTTTAAAATTTTCAGTGTTTCCAACTGATGATAGTCCATTAGCTAAATTACAACCTGAAAGAATCAGGAGAATGATAAATAAAATCTGCTCTTTTTGCTTCTTGAAGATTAGGGAATCCGTTTTTGAAATAATTTGTCAGAAATAAATTAATACTTAAATTTTCATGCAGACCATGTAAAGTTCGGTTTTATTTTCCCTGAACAGTCGTGTGATCAAGCTTTTTTCATGACCCTTTTGGCTCTGAATATTAATTACAATTACTACTGTGCTTAACGCAGTTTATTTTTCTTTTTTTCCCTAGTTATTTTCGATTTGCGCCTGGTCTCCAGACGAACAGTTTTTGGCTGCTGGAACAACAAATGGTGATATTTTATTTTGGAGTCTGAAAAAAGGGAAAGTGACTGAAATTAGTTCCCAGAAGAAGAAAGGCTCCTCTGTTTGTGGGTTGACCTGGAATCCAGATATCGAAAAGAAAGAGTTAGCCTACAGTGACACAGAAGGTCATTTTGGAGTTGTCGAGAACTGTTGCTCAGAGGAAATTCTAGCATCTGATTTTGAGATGGAAGAAGAGCTGAACATGAAAGCTGCTGGTAGGGAGAAAAATAAACTCAAGGAAAGTGGTGTCGAAGATCTTTTCTCTGAGCCCCTTGAATTTGATGATGATGAAGAAGACGAGAATGATATATCCCTTGATAAGATCAAGTCACAGTACCCACTTGAAGAAGATGCATTGAGCACCAAAGATGCACCCTCTGTTCGGGAGGGAAGCGAAAGCAGGCTATCAAACATCAGCGCTGTTGAAAAGCCTATTCTTCCTCAGCTGTACCTGCAGGCACCTTTCCAGCCGTCATCCACCCCGCTTCACCTGAACCACCGCTTCATGGTACGATTTACCTTCCTCTGAATCCTTGAATTTGCATAGAAGAAAATAGTAGAGAATAAAAGTGTGGGGGATTTCTTGAGGTTGATGTACACCAGAAAATTGCAGTCAGAATTTGGAAATTCCTCACTTTTCCCCAACAAGATGGTGGTGTAAAGGTCTTCAAAATCCTGTGTGAGGCCTCCTCAAAAGAAAATATAAGTGTAGATGAACAAATACTCATAGGTACAGAAAATGCTCGCATGTGAAAATGTGGAAAAGCTGTTAAAATCCTGAAGGGAGGGAATTTGTGGTATTAAATTTATAGTAATTCTCACTAAAGAAAGACGCCTGTCACCATAATTGATTTATAAGATCAGCACTTACTTTAAGCTTTTTAATGATAATCTTGAATTTTCTAGTCTAACTGAAAAGCTCTGACCTGCTGATTAAAATAGTCCAAGAACGCTTTCTGTACTTAAAAAATTATAAAATATAAAACATTATGATTCTCTAAACTTATTATCTTGGTAAAAAACAGTATCAATAGACACTAGTAAGGGACAATCTTCAAGGGTCCAAAGTCGAGAATCAAAGGAAGTAAGAAGGAAATTGCGCTCATTTTTTAAATTTAAGGGAAATTTTGTGGAAAGCTGGCGGAAGGGCGGGCGCATAAAAACAAGGGGCATGGAAGATTCTGCACCCCTGCAAATATTTACGTAATGAATCCATCGGAATATTATTCTCACCATTCTTTCACTGCAAAAAACTACTACTTACTACTCACAAGCGTTATCATATGATTCACGAAAAGAATGTGAACGAACACAATTTCACTAGAAATGAAAGTTGATTCTCTTCCGTTCCGATTTTTCCACTCCAGTTAAAGTCTTATTTTATTTTTTCAGTTGTGGAACAATGTTGGTACCCTCTATCATTACAATACTGAAGAAGAAAATGCCATTCAAGTTGAATTTCATGATGCAGAATTTCATCATCACTTTCGAATTGACAATATTCTTGGTCATCATATAGCTGCACTGAGTGAGCATGCTTTAGCCCTGGCTTGTGAAAGTCAGAATGATACGGCTAGGTAAGAATATTATTTTTTCTCAACGATTTTAGCTAATCCATAGCAAAATAAATTTTTCTTTCAAGAATCTTCCCAGCCCCTCAACAGATTAGATCCATCGAGGGGCTGGGAAGATTTTCAGAATGCAGTTGCTCGGAGTCGATTTCGTCATATATTGCGCTAACGCACCACAAAAAAATGCAGCTTTTTCGGTCATATCTCTTGACTCTGCTAAGTCTCCACTTTGATTTTTGGTAAGCATCTAGATACAAGTATGACTGACCTCTGGAAAAAAAATTTGTAGGGCCCTGTGCGTCTCTTTTTGAGATACTTTAATTTTTAGACTTACAAATTTCTTTCACAAAAGAAGGACCCCGCACACCTCTTATGAGAAGTTGCACCATGAAGAAACCACAATTGTTTTTAATCATTCGATTCTCCTCAAGATGCTGATCAAAAGTTATCATTGCGCCAACTTTCCATGATGCACCGTTTTCGCAAAAAACGGCCGAGAAGATTGAATTACTTGGCAACAATGAATAAAAAGCATTCAAGAACAGACCCGATGTAAAGAAGGAAAAAACGTAGCGCATGTCCGTCTTCTTATCTGTACCTGCCGACTCGGGGGCTATCTCCCTCCCGCACTTGTCTGGTTGACGTTCACTGTTTTTCTGCAACTTTCCTGTTCTTATGCTCCTCAAGAATCTGATTTGGATGGTCGAGCAAAACGGCATGCGGAATCCAAGGTAAGACTGCTGGTTGGTGTGGGAGTTCCCCTGATTTCCTTCTCTGGAGTGCTGAAATGAGGAATCTCTCTGGCTTTTCATCGCCGAATAATTGAATCTTCTCTGCCATTTTTTGTAAAAATGGTGCATCGTAGAAAGTTGGCGCAATGATCACTTTTGATCAGCATCTTGAGGAGAATCAAATGGTTAAAAACAATTAATGTTTCTTCATGGTGGAGCTTCCCATAAGAGGTGTGCGGGGTCCTATAAAGTTTAATTCAAATTTGATGTTCTCACAAGAAAGACTGTTTCAAGAGTTTTTAATTGGCACCAGAACGGTTCAGATCGAATAAACGGTTTTGGAAATATAGGCAGTTGAAGAGGTTAACCTCTGCTATTTTACTGGAACTTTAAAATTCAATAAAAGCTCAACTAGTTGACAAAAACATTGAGAAATCAAATTTTTGGAATCAGCTCAATGAGTAAAGTAAGTGTTTTTGAGTCAATCTGAAAATGCCTAATAGTCAAGCGTATTCAACCAAAACGCTATCCATTCCTAATAGGTCATACTATAAAACTTTGAAAGTAATAAGTAATTGAAAATCTAACAATACATTTTTATAACTTAATTAATTAAAAATTAATTAACTTGTCTTTTCTAGCAAACTTGTATGTGTGCTGCTGAAAGCGTGGGATGGCAGCAAAGAGTGGAGTGTAGAGTTACCGGGTGAAGAGCAAGCGGTCAGCGTGGCAGCAGGAGACAGTTGGGTAGCTGTTGCAACTGATGCCAGGATTCTGAGGATCTTCAGTCTATCCGGTTGTCAAAAGCAAATCATCTCCATACCAGGACCGACCATTTGCATGGCCGGTCATGGCAGAAAACTTGTGGTCGTCTATCATGGTGGAACACCAATTCCAGATGACCAAGCCTTGAGCTACATAGTTTATGACACAGACAGGCTTTATTCAAGCTCCTTATCGCAACCTCTACCAATAGCTCCCAAGTCTGAACTGCGGTGGTTAGGCTTCACAGATGAAGGCTCAGTTTGCATTACAGATTCCTCCGGCATGCTAAGAATTTTAGTTAACCGTACTACCTGGCAGCCGATTTGTAATGTTGATGCACAGACCAAAAACAAACTTGATCATTATTTTGTTTTAGGTGTAAGTGAGACTAGTAGGAAGATTAGATGCCTACTTTGTAAAGGAGCTATATACCCTCGCACAACGCCCAAACCAATTGTCACTGAAATTTCCTGGCAAATTCCTTTATGCGAAGTTGATTGTGAGAAAGGACAGTTGGAAGATAAATTATGGCAATTAATCCTAGTCAAACGTAATTTAGAGGCTCTTGGAACCTTAGGTGGCTCATACCTAGATGCAAAGAAAATGATCAGCAAAGACATCTTGACAAGTGGCCTCAAGCTTTTTGCCTTGGCATGTAAAAATGATTCCGACATGCGAGCATTAGAAGTTGTTGAAATGATTGGAGACCCAGTGTTCAATAATTTAGCGATTAAGTACGTTGAAAATAGAGGAAAAACTAGTTTGATCAGTCGGTTATCTGAACTAGATTGTAGGAATTTGAAGCGAGAGAGATCCCCATCTCCAGACTTTCAAAGGCAAAATCGATCTACAAACTCAGTCCATCGTAACTCTCTAAGGGAGCCACCATCTGTAAATATAGCAAACAATGAACTATCTCAGGATGTTTTTGGTGAGGAAAACGATGAAAATCGGGAAGACAATTTGATCGTTGCGTATAAAAAGAGGAAAGCTGCGGAGAGCCTTTCATCAGGCATATCTCCATCACCACAAATTATCAATCCATTTAAAAAGAAGAATGTAAGCGGAGGAAATGAAGGTCTAGATGCCTTGGATGTCGTCAAGAAAAAAGAACCTGTCCCCAAAAATAGCTTCAGCCTTGACAAAAAAATGTCAATGCGCAAAACGAAAAAAGATGCTGATGCAGCAAAACCAAACAAAAAAATCACATTTCTGGAATGGTTTGAAAGTGAAAAATCGAATTTACAAGAAGAATTTCCAGAGCTTGACCTATCAGAGTTATCAAAGACTGCAATGAAACGATTCAAAGCCTTGAAGTCCTCAACGCAATTAGAAAAAGCTAGTCAAAATTCTACGAAAGAACGAGACTTGAAATCGTTTTTCTCTTTCGCCTCGTCTCAAAGTACTATTCAGCCTGAAGAGTCTCAGGGAACAATCAATGATACAGAGATGAGTGAAGCACCCATGTCTGATGCAACAATGTATGAGACTCCACTATCAGAAGACATCAGTGTAGAATAGAGTTATTTATTCAACGTGTAATTTAATTAGGAATCGTGTAAATATCAAACATTCTGTAAATTATGTACTACGCCTTCCCTTTTTTTTATCTTTAAATTGTTCAATTTCTTTTTCTTCTTTTTTTAATTGCTGATTGCAGAATTAGATTGATTAGATTAGAAAAAGCTTGTTATCTCAGTTCTTTTTAATTATACTTTTTTAAATTATTAGCCATTTTTTTTATGGTTACAGACGTCACTGGCAAACCTTATGAACGTCACCAAGTCAGAAAAATGTAGGTAATTAATGCAGTCAATTTTGGGATTTTAAGTTGCTAAATCGTAGCCAAGCCACAAATAAAGCAGGTTTAATGTTCAAAGACAGGTTTTCGTCTGCATTTTACTTCATTCTCTCCATTTCTGCCCAGACTACTATCAATTTTGACACTATCTGCTTTGTATACCCTTAGGTTAAAGGAAATCAAAGAATTGTTTGGAAAGAAAAATTGATGCAATTAAACTTTAAACAAAAGAGAACATACATGTAGATGTTAGTCCCAAATGTAAATGAACCATCCATTTGAATGACTGATACACTGGTAATATGTTTGGTTAAGAAATAGGGACTGAAGTGGAAAGCAGAAATATAAATATTCCCATAAAGATTTCCATGTCGGTTTGCAAGGAATAAACTATTGCAAAAGAGATTTCTAGGTAAAAAACAAAATTAAGGTGTATAAGCTAATGGGTGTGAGGCGACCGTTTTGTTACAAATGTCACCAAAATTTTTTTTCAGTTCCAGCAGAAGATTCCATGAATGGCTCAGTAAGTGAGTAAAACTCAAGCATGATCTCACCTTCACCATGTTTGAAAAAAGTATCACTTCGTGAAATGATAGTACATATTTCAACTTTTACAACGTTTCTGTTACAGAAGTCAGACTTTTCAACTGGTTGTAGATACCTGGAAAACTCATTCAGTAGATTTGTCTCAATTTCTAAACTTGCATGAGAAGAAAGTGGAGTGTCTATTCTTGCTGTCAACATATTTTGGATTTGGCTGATACATTAGCTTATCAGAATTTCAAGCATCAATTTGGGCATCAAATTACACACCACATCACAGTACCCAACAATAAATATGCAAAAAATTGAAAGTAAAATCGCCTTTATAAGTATCTCTTATTTTAATTATAAAGATAGTTTATTTTTTTAGGTAGGAAACTTTTTAGAAAGTTGCTTTTGGGGAAGGAAACTTTTAAGCGCATTGTTTTATATGCTGGAAGTCTTTCAAGCGCGCTTCTTTTGGGGAAGGAGGGTGTTAAGTGAATTGTTTCAGGTAGAGGTGCAATTATAGCAAAATAACAAAGTTTGGGGAAGGCAAATTATGAATTATGAGGAAGGCTAGGAACTTTCTGCACCCCTGGACGTTACATGGTTCACTGTCAGAATGCTCTTTCAAACTAAACGTAAAGAGAGCTTACCGCGGATTCATTTTGGCGAATAATCTTCAAATGTTGTAATTTCCTCAGATATTGAATGTCCGACCAACTTAAAAAATGGTATTGGTCTAGAAAATAAATAAGTGAGAATTAATACAATTTTGTAGAGGAAAACACATTGTAACTAGCGCTTGTCATAATTTTTATAAGACATATCAGTGAAAATTTTGTGAATTAGATGGGCCCATTGAAGTAAAGGAGGTCCATCTGAGAGGAAAAACTCTCTTTGGAACTGCTTTTATTTGATGGAATTTGCTTATGAAAGGAGCTGTTTCAAGAGGAAAAATCATTGCAGATAGATTTGTTTTGGATAAGTAGGTCCAAATATGATTGTCATTGAAAGCATTTTTTCTAACATTGCAAGAAGAGATGTAAGTTTTTTTTTAATTTCGCCATCAACTTTTAATTCTTGAAGTATCTTAATTAATTTCAAAAGTTGGTTTCTTCACAAAAATTATACACCACAGATTTCGTGGAAGTAAACAAGTAGTTGTTATTATTTTCTCTTCAAAATTTAGACTTCAGCATTAGTTTCAAGGGAGAAAACCCTGTTACTGTTTTGTAACATCAAGGCACAGGGGAATAGAATAGTGCTGATGCGTAAAACAGTTGGTTGATAGTTATTGGTAGGACCATGTTTAAGTATATGGTCCTACCAATCTTTTTTGTTACAACAAAAAAAATTACGGAGTCAAATGTTTTCTAAGTAAGACAGTTAAAACTTAGTTGATCTCTGTTCGATGCACATCAAAAGAGGGCAAAAGTAAGAGGCAATCAAATCAAAGAGGCAAGGTATCAAGGCTATTCATTCTTCTTATTCTCACATCAAAAGAGGTTGAAAGAGAAATTTTGAGTGAAGGTTTGAAATTTTTCCCCCAGTAACAATGGATAAATATTAAATCCCTGGTAAAAATTGGCAGTAGAATGTGTGTTCTAAAATACCATAGACCTAAAGCTGGCTGTAAGATTTCCAACAGTTTCTGTAGGTAGCCGGCTGTATAATTTCTTATAGCCTTTTATAGCCGATGGCGATCAAGCAACAGCCAGACGATACATTTTATGCTAAACGTTACTAAATACGGATACTAGGACTTAGTTAGTTTTTGGACTACCGCTCTCTTTTTGTGCCGTATTACCTATCTTGATTTATTTTGCGAGGAAAGCTCCGTACTTTTGAAGGATGCCTGTCATTCTTAAAATGTTGGAGCGCCTTCAATTTCTTATGATACTGTGCAGTACATCTGGTGTGAAATAGTTGCTTCAGATACCGTAGCACGCTGCGGCGCGGTGGGCGGGCAGAGAGCGCGAAACGCGAATTGGCGCCTACAAACCTAACAGGGATACTTCACGCACTGCGCAATGCGTGAAGTATCCCTGTTAGGTTTGTAGGCGCCAGTGCGTCGCCGCTCCGCTTTGTGTTAGGCTCTAATTCTTAATCTCGCGGAGTCAGCGTTTTTCAACTCATGATTTTGAAATGTTTGCACACTCTGTATGGATTATTCTTATTTTAATTGATGGGAAAAATATGTTTTAAAGAAAAATATAGGTAATGTGTGTTTTGTAAATATTAAGGTAGTTCCGTATGAAACTTAATGATTTCCAAAGCCAAAGCACATAAATTTCTACACAACTTCTTATAGCCTTTTATAGCCAATGGCGATAAAGTGTAAAGCCCAGCGATAGGAACTGTAGCCCGACTGTATACTTTTTTATAGATTCGGATAGCCCGGCTACTTATATGATTTGCTCCGCTTTCTACAGCCAGCTATATGATTTTCAATAGCCTTCTTTAGTCGGCTATAAGAACTCCTATGGTATTTTGAAACGCAGCTCCTATCGCCAATTTTTACCAGGGATTTTTAGAAATTATGAATTAGGGATACCTACCTAAGGAAAGAGAAATGGTGCTTTCTCAATGGAATAATGTTAAAAATTAATAAGAAGCATACAGACTTTAAATAAATAAAGCAGCTGTCTTTAAAATAAAATTACTATTTGAGGAGGTTAAACCAAGAGACATACCTAGCTAATGTTTCTTTCTTTTTTCCAAGATCCGTCTGTTGACGGAGCGAACCATAATCGGGAGCCCAGAAATGGACAACTTTGCTGACATCCTTGGTCTCAACCTAGTTTCCTTTTTTCCTATTTTCCGCCTAGAACCTCAAACGCCAAGAGGTTTATAGAAAGTTTTCTAAGTTTTCATTAGGTACTAAAATTCCTTACTTTACACATTTCTCCTGATTTGTTAAATTTTACTCCTTTGAGTGTTAATACTTGTGCTTTGTGGTCAGAAAGAGCAGGTTCCATCACTCTAACTCTAGTCTCTTCTATGTTAGTAATGATGTTATCCAAACAAACATTCGATTTTATCCTCGTCACCTCCTCAACTAAGCAAAATTTCCAGATTGTTAGTTGCAAGTAGTTCTGACAGTCCCTTGCTCTCTTTAATCACCTGCTTACAATCAAAATTAAAATCATCACATAAAATTAATTTTTCTGTCTTGTTTACAAATTCATCCACCAATTCCGCGATCACAGTAGGTGATAGATTGATCTTGGATCATGCACAGCGTCGCCGCGCCACGCCGCACAGTGGATCGAGTCAATATATCGTCACCTTCCCGGCAAAGTATCACAAGCGCCATGCGACGTTTAAAAATTTCCGCCGCCATTTTATTTTTTTACAGAGAAATTGTTCAACGAAGCTGTCCGAAAATTTCACTGAATTTTCTTTGTGCTGCCGATAAAATTTAGTGAAATTTCCAAACAGATTCAACCAACAATTTCTCAGTAAAGAAATGAAATGGCGGCGGAAATTTTTAAACGTCGCATGGCGCTTGTGATACTTTGCCTGGAAGGTGACGATATAGTAGAGGTTGGACAAAATTTGGAAACGTTAAAAGTTTATAACTCCGTTTGTACAAACTTGGAGGTTCTAAAATTGGTTTCATTGGTTTTCCCGTAAAATTTTCTTCCAGAGGCACCCCTTAAAATTTAAAATGTTATGGAATTAAAATCAAAATTTGCAGTTTTGGTCAAAAATTTTGTGTCTGACCTCTATCTAACTATCTCGATCCACGGTGCGCCGCCGGCCGACCTTCAGCTCTCCGTCACGACGATACAACTATTGCAGCTCCTGAGGAACCACAATTGCCTATCTTATCACTTGAAGGCGAATCGAGTTGCCTCCATCGAGACTGCAGCTTGGAGCATACGTGCTTACACATGGATTGCATTTTGCAAAGAGAAACCATGCATTGCAATGTTGCTAAGATTGTGCAACTTCTTGGAATAATTCCTTACTATCCATTGACAGTTTTTATTTTACTCGCTAAAAACTGTAAATTGAAGACAAAAATTACCATCTAAAATTTCAAATTTTTTCATAATTCAAGAATTGTATTGCAAACGATGAAAATGCACAATCTTAGCTACATTACAATACTTCTGGTTCCTTTTTGCAAAATGTAATCCACATATTATATCCGATTTTTTTCTGATGGCGCGACAAATAAGCTCGCAGGCCCTTCGAAAGAGAAGGTGGAGCGCTTCTGATAGGCCGAAATCCTTCAACACAATTTTATTTCAACCACCTGGTTTCATATTTTTGAATAAAATGTGCATTTGAGTTTTTGAATGGTTTTTGGAGTGCAGTATAATCAAGTGGTTAAGAGGAGTTGAGGGGGCCAAGAGATCTTTATTTTAGGTAAAGGTCCACCCGTCGTTTATGGGACCACTAAATACTGATGCAGCATTGTGACCGGGAGGAACGACAGTCCGGGGGTTAATTTTCTAGAAATGTTAAATCGTCAGCGGGCCGATTATTGGAATTGATCGACAAAGCTATAGACAAAGGAGACAAAAGAGATATGGAGCGAGATCCTATTGGCGAAAGCGGGTGGTTGCAATGGACAAAAGAGGGAGGTAACAGACTATAACTAACGGCAACTCACGAGAGACCCGACAGTTCGTCTACCATTTTCTCCCTTTGTCGATAGGAACCACCCATTTCAACCAATAGGATCGCTCCATACTCCTTATGTCTTCTTTAATTGGCTATAGCTTTGTCCATCAATTTCAATAATCAGTCCCGCTGGCCCGTTAAAAGATATGTTGATGCTACTATGCGTCTACTGCCGTGCTAAGGAAAAACGCCGTATAAACATCCGAGAGGTGCCAAATTTCCTTCGATAAAATGATTATGTTTGAGGCAGTAAGTTGTGAACATGTGTCCTTTAAATTTTCAGGAACTTTCGGTAAAATTGTAAAAAAAAAATTATATGAAAAATTGGAAGGAAAATATTCATATGTTTACTAGGAAATTTGTTTTTTATCCAAGGATATTCGGTAACGCCTAAAGGTTCATGCGGCGTTTTTCCTTAGCACGGCAGTATACTATAAGATACTTTTACCTGGAAATACGTCTTCAGAAAGTATTACTTATACATATGTAAATGAAATTTACTGAATCTTCCCGCCGCTATGCTGCACTGATACGCAAGCACGGCTTCCAAGCACATAAATGCAAGGACTTGCAGAACTTTGTTGCCAAGTCACGTCGAAAAATGAGATAACTTCGAGAGAGCACATCATTTTTAACAAGGGTCTCCCAAGAATGATTTACTACAGAATTGCCTACCTACCTAATTGCAACAATGGCTCAAAGGTACAAATCGCTGGCGAGAATCGAAAAAAGTGCATCTCTACATCGACTTCGGGAGTCTTCAAGTTTTCCTTCTTCCTCTTTTGTTTATCTCGAAACAAAGTATTCAACGGATTTTCTTGAAACTTTCTAGTTTCCTCCATCTGTTCAATACTATGTAGAAAAAGTTCCAATTAGATGCTTGGCTAGTTTTCTTTCAAAATAGTAAAAAATAATCAGAGATTTATAATTGCCTTAATGGAGAGGTACGCCGTACGTACTTTCCCACCTTTAACCATCGATATCGTGATTGGCCCATGGCCGGATTTACCTACTTGCCGCCCATGGGCCACCTGTATTTTGCCGCCCTCTTCTCATTCATTTTGAAACATTAATAAAAACCATCAAGTGAACGTGCCGGAGGGGGAGGGGTGCATAAGACGCGTACACTCGTGTTGGACACATTTTTTGCGTAAGCCCTGTCAACACTATTAGCAAAAGTTCACGGAACTTCGCGCGAAAGTTCAGTTCCGTAAACCTTTCACTGTGGGAAAAAGGCCTTTCATTTGTAAGAAATGAACTAAAAAATTTAAAAGAACAAACATAAATGTGGTTCATTGATTTTAACTTCCGCCGCCGTGCCGCGCTGACCACACTGAGTTTGGCGCATTGCGTGAAGTATTCATGTAGTCTTGTAGGCACTGTGCGTTTCACGCCGCGCCGCGCCGACCGCTGTTGACCGTGCTGTTTTTGACGCAATGCTTGAAGTATTCATGCAGTCTTGTAGGCGCTAATATGTGTTACATGCCGACCGCCGCGTCGAGGGCTTCTCCTTTTCATCTCA